GGCAAGGTGCTATCGCCCTTTTCAATCACCATATCCATCCATTTCGCATCCACGACCTTACACGAAAACCTGAATTCATATCTGAATTACAGTTCCCTCTTGGCTACTATCCCCACTCGTCCACACTCGGTGAATCTATCGTTCGTCCGTCCTTCATCATGAGCGACCCGGAGCGCGGCCAGGCGCTCGAGGACTATAAAAAGAGCTTGCTCGAACTACGAGAATGGGAAGCCAAATTGAAAACCCTCCGCTTGGGTATCAAGGATCTCCAAAGAGAGTTTGATGTCTCCGAGGATAACATCAAGGCACTACAAAGTGTTGGTCAGATCATCGGCGAGGTGCTGAAACAGCTCGACGAAGAGCGATGTAAGTATCCGAGGTTCAAGTTTTTTGTTTCAATGATCGCATCAAGAAGCTAATCCGTTTCACAGTCATCGTCAAGGCGTCATCGGGTCCTCGATATGTGGTCGGTTGTCGTTCAAAGGTGGATAAATCCAAGATGAAGCAAGGCACACGTGTGGCCTTGGATATGACAACACTCACCATTATGCGGATGCTTCCTCGTGAGGTTGATCCGATGGTGTACAACATGTCTCTGGAAGATCCAGGGTCCGTCAACTTCGCGGGTATCGGTGGTCTTAACGACCAGATCAGAGAGCTTCGTGAGGTCATCGAACTACCCCTGAAGAACCCAGAACTCTTCCTTAGAGTTGGAATTAAGCCTCCGAAGGGTGTTTTGCTCTACGGTCCTCCCGGTACTGGTAAGACACTGCTTGCACGAGCAGTGGCTAGCTCGATAGAGACCAACTTCTTGAAGGGTATGTTCAACTTCTTATATCATTTACACCTGCAATATTCTAACTAGTCTACTCTCGTTAGTTGTATCCTCGGCCATTGTGGACAAATATATCGGTGAATCCGCTCGACTGATCCGAGAGATGTTCGGATACGCCAAGGAACACGAGCCCTGCATTATTTTCATGGACGAGATCGATGCCATTGGTGGACGACGTTTCTCAGAGGGTACATCAGCAGATCGAGAAATTCAACGGACGCTCATGGAGTTGCTGAACCAGCTGGACGGTTTCGACTACCTCGGAAAGACAAAGATCATCATGGCCACCAACCGACCCGACACACTGGACCCTGCTCTGTTGCGTGCCGGTCGTCTGGACCGCAAGATTGAGATTCCTCTTCCCAATGAGGTTGGTCGTCTGGAGATCTTGAAGATCCACACAAGCACGGTCCAACAGGAAGGTGATATCGACTTTGAGAGTGTGGTCAAGATGAGCGATGGTCTTAACGGTGCTGATCTCCGAAACGTGGTTACTGAAGCGTGAGTGACGACTTCTATCTCATAATATGTTGTAAACTCGCTGACTAACTCTTTATTAGTGGTTTGTTCGCGATCAAGGATTACCGTGACGCTATCAACCAGGATGACTTCAACAAGGCTGTACGGAAGGTGGCAGAGGCGAAGAAATTGGAGGGCAAGCTTGAGTATCAGAAGCTGTAATTGTATTTACCTTGCGGGGCTGTTGGTCCACATCATCTGGTGCACGGTTTAGATCTTTCTGTTAAAGCGCTAATGCTATGCATTTGACCTATTCTTCTATTGTTGATTCAAGTTGGAATCTGTAGACCAGGGGACCATGGAAAGAATAACTTGCTTAATTAACAGTTGAAGAATGCATCTGCTCCAAGGAATTAATGTAAGTACATTGGGTTTGATAGATAGCGCGATGCCCTATTCATGTATTTCTAGACACAGTTACATATGAGGCTGGTTACGCGTACGATGAGATCTGATTTGCGGACCCCTGGTGTTGCCTCTCCACTTCCCCAGCTTCCTTGAACTTGCCCTTGCCACGTTCTCGATTCTCGCGCAAATTTCGTCTCGAATAAGATTGAATGCTTATTGTGATACTTGGCTTTTATCTGCCCTAGCATTGCTCAGGACACGCGGGATAAACTCCGCGCTCCACATCTCCGAAGAGGAATTCTTTACGGACCACCAACCCACCAAACATAACTGCATCGGTGCATGTTGGCTTTTTCGTTTAGAACCGAGAGGCTAGATTGTCTTCGCGATCCAGGCCTGTACATCACAAACACCCTAGCAAAGGGTTATACTTGGGTAAGTGCCTCGGTGTCCTGGTCCGAGGGTGGCTCCTCGCCCTGCAATCAAACCTGACTAACCGTTACATTTGAACAGGAAATACGCTTGAATGAACCTTGAATTAGAATCTTGATCAACACTAAACAAAGGCGAATACTCCGATAGCACCTCAACCTCCTCCTCACTCTCATGTGGCGCATTCGATAATCGCAAGATCGGCAGAGATTCCCCCACGAAACAAGAGACCAAATCAAAGAAAACAATGGCCTACCAGCCATCGCGCAGTCCCTTTGCGCCCGCGCAACAAGACGGCTTTTACGGAAACCCTCGTACTGGGCTGCGTGGATACGGGCTGTCGAACCAGCCCATCCCCCTATCCAATAAAGTGAACGGCTACTTCGAGAAGGACCGCACACTACCTTTATACAAAGATAAGCCATTCTTTTCGCCTCGGCGCACAGGTCCTCGAAGGAGATGGAGGCCGTTTCTGAACGTGCTGGGGGTGTGTACAGTATTATTTGTGTTGTATTATAACTTCTACCTCCGCACATGGTCGGGGCTACAGTCAAATGATAAGGGGGTAGAATTATGGAAATGGGCCCAGACATTAGAAGAGGGGAAAACTTCCGGGGACTTATCTGACTGGACTGCGAGACGAGAGAAAGTGCGGGACGCCTTCATCGTCAGTTGGGAGGGGTATGAGAAGAACGCATGGGGTAGGTCATACAGAAACCTTGTGTACTATATGACAGGGCTGACACCATTATTCAGGATACGATCAGTATCGCCCAGTATCGAACGTTAACCAGGAAGACACGAGCGGCGGATTAGGCTGGATGATAGTCGACTCGCTGGACACACTGATGATCATGAATCTGACTTCCAAAGTCCACCGCGCGCGGCAATGGATCTCAACATCGCTGAATTATGACCAGGACCGTGATGTTAACATGTTCGAAACGACTATCCGCATGCTAGGTGGTTTGCTGTCTGCACACTATCTGTCAACCCAATACCCCAATTTGGCACCTCTCAACGACGATGATGTTGGTGCTGCCGGTGAAGACCTGTACATCGAGAAAGCCGCTGACCTCGCTGAGCGGCTACTCGGGGCTTTCGAGTCTCCAAGCGGTATCCCATGGTCGAATGTCAATCTTAACACGTCAGAAGGTGTTGTCGTGCATTTCGATGAGGGTGCTACCTCTATTTCTGAGGCCGGCTCGATACAGCTTGAATTCAAGTATTTGGCCAAGCTGACTGGCGAAGCGGAATATTGGAAGTTGGTTGAAAGAACGATGAAGCTGGTCGACCTGCAAAAGCCGCAGGATGGCCTTGTCCGAACCACCATCCATCCTGATAGTGGTGCATTCAAAGGAGACAGCATTACTCTGGGCAATAAGGCAGATTCTTACTATGGTATGTCGATAATACTCTGTGCTCCGTGGATCTTTTCAGCTGACTCGCTCCAGAATATCTCATTAAGCAATACCTGCAGACCTCAGAACAGGAGCCCGTCTACAAAGAGATGTGGGATGAGGCACTTAGAGGCATCCGCAAGCACCTAGTCTCGTTCACCAAGAACTCTCGCCTGATGGTTATCGGCGAGCGGCCCCAGGGTCTAGACCAGGACCTGTCACCCAGAATGGACCACTTAGTCTGCTTCATGCCCGGAGCAATCGCGCTCGGCGCGACTGGGGGCCATTCCTTGGCCCAAGCCCGAAAGTCCGCGGGTTGGACTCAACAGCGCGAAGAAGATATTCTCATGTCCAGAGAATTGATGAAGACCTGTTGGGCAATGCACCAGGCAACGGCAACCGGCCTCGCAGCCGAAATCTCCCACTTCGTCTTAGATTCGCCCCCCATGATGATGGCAGACAAGTACCCAGATCCAGCGACAAACCCCAACCGCGCATCCAAACCCGAGGCACTGCGCAGCATTTCCAAGCCTATAGAGGCGCAAAGTGATGCGTCCGAGCCCTGGCGCGCGGACATTGACGTCCGCCGCAACGACCGCCACAACCTACAACGCCCGGAAACAATCGAGTCCCTCTTCTATCTCTACCGTATCACCGGCGACGATATCTACCGACAGTGGGGTTGGGAGATCTTCAAGTCTTTCATCAAACACACATCCGTGGTCGAGAAGAAGAGTACATCTCGTATTCCCACATCAACCAGCACAGCACCTGTATTCCGTATCAAGAGCTTTACATCGCTCGGGAACGCGGATGCAGTCCCTCCTTACAAGCGCGATAACATGGAAAGCTATTGGATGGCTGAGACGCTCAAGTATTTCTACTTGTTGTTTTCGGACCGTGATTTCATCTCGCTGGAGGATCACGTTTTCAATACTGAGGCCCATCCATTCCCGCGGTTTAAACCTAGCGGAGATCTTAAGACGGGATGGGAGAGGGCGCCTAGGCAGTAGATTTGCCGGGTAACGCCTTGGTTGATTATGGCTTTCATGTCTCTTATATGTTCTGTCCAGCGCTTTTTTTCGTAATTTTACCTAGATTTGTATTCCAACCTTCTGTACATGACCAATTTTGCCCTTCAGTAAACCGTACTCCTTCAAAGTTGGAGAGCAGCTTAAGTCGATTATCTGAACCCCATAGCCCTGCCAGGGATATGGCAGGGATATGGTAGGGATAGGGTCGGGAATAGAGTCAGTGATTGTACATAATTTTACAACTAGAGTCAGATGCAAAGCGTGTACGTGATCCATAGTGGTTCTCGAAGCTTGGCCAATGTAGAATAACTCATTTTCTGCCTTAACACCCATAGATGATTGCACGCAACTAATTTACACTCGTGGCAACATTGACTCTAGAGTGATATGATCTTCAAATGTAGTCATCAACCTAGTCAAACCTGCTGTCATCTAGGTCTTTCCAAAAAGTTCTAGGCCATCTTCATCCGCCCGTTCATCTACAGTCCTGCCGTTTGGAATACGAGGATCAAGGCCGTCACTCCTCAGCCCTGGCAGTTTGGCATCTTTCTCATGCGCCAGTTGCTCAATTTGGACATTGACATCTATATCCGATTCGTAATCGAGATAGGGAGTACTCCTATCCACGGGTTCTTCGAGCCCGTAAATCCACAGAGAGTCAAGAGTAGACGGGATATAATCAACAAGATTGAAAGACTTCGAGTCAAGCTGCATCTTGCCATCTCATACACCTCGAGCTAGATAGCATAGCGTATAGGCTCCAATACTAAGCTTCTCGAGGCGTGAAAAGTCTTTCAGGGAGACGCGTGTAGGTGTAATTTCCGCGGTAGCTAGCTCCTATAGCTCGTCTGCCTATTGCTCCTTACACTCTTCTTGCTCCTCTTCGGTCATCCTACCTTCTTAGGATTGATATTCCTTATCATACAATTCTTGTAGGGGATGTCTGGCTCTCTATATCTAGATTCAATTCTTCTAGAGTCTGGCGATGTATCCAAAGGGACTTGAGTATCGGAGTCACGTATAATACGGGGTGGCCACCTTTAGGGTATTGACGACTACCGATAGCGGAAGTAAAACATTTCAAGGTCTTCGCGGATTCGATGAAACGGCAAAGATCTGAACTTCGTATTATAGAATGTGTAAAGCTGATCTTGCTACAGTTGGCGGAACGGGGAGAAGGCGGTATATCCTTGGGGGGAAGCACAGAATTTTGGATGGAAGAGTCAGAAATAAACTCGATCATTCCAGTTCCGTACAAGTCCGCACGACCAAGATAACCCCTAAGGGATAGAAATCGTAAAATGGCAAGTAATATATCTAGCCCAGCTTGGAGTACAGCTTCATGGGTCTGCGGTAGCTTCTCTCGGCCAAACTTCAATTGGTGATATTTCTGACGATTTTTCACATCATATAGAGCATGTACTCCACGACTTTGCTGCGACAAGGTCATGATGTCGTGCACCGAAAGTCTGTTGATCACGTTGAGCAGCAATTCACTGGCTAGGTTCCGCAGGGACGGCATTTTTGCCCGTGTAGCAATGCGTCGAATCAAAGCAGTTCGGAACATGCCTAAGTTGAAGAGGAAAGGAGGAAAGGAGGAAAGGAGGCACGAAATACTAAAACTTGATGTCTTGGTGCTAGGGCTGTAGCAGAGATCTGTACGGAGTATCAGTTCACTAGTAGCCGAAATTATATACACACAGCACCAGATAGCACACCCCTATCAAGTCAATATGCAACACACAACCGATTACACGGTTACCTCGTCCTTCTTCTCTCTCTCTAGCGCAGCTTCAATCAACCTCTTATAACCAACCACAGCCTCCTTGATCTGGCGGATGGTCAAGGCCTCATTATCACCATGAGCAACAAAGATGCTGCCAGGCCCATACAAGTAGCGCTTGACATCAGGACCGACAGCCAGATTCGGCACATCAGTACCATAGTTAACAGTAGTAACATCAAACCCATCAACATCAACATCCAAATCCTGTGGCGGATAAGACTCGCCATGCGAAACAAAGTCCACAACAACCTCCGCCTCAGCATCCCGAACCGCCTCCTTAACAGCGCGCTGAACAATCTCACGCGCCTCAGCAGGCGTACCAGCTGCAAGTCTCACAGCAACATCCGCCCACGCCTCAGAAGGAACAACATTCGTAGCAACACCAGCGCGGATAACGCCAATATTCAGCGTCGTCGGCCCGTATTTCGGGGATGCAGGCAGACCGCCCTCTTCGACGGGGATATCACCGAGCACATCGACGCGCGAGAGCGCGGGCAGAATCGCCGAAACGGCGCTCTTGCCCAGCCACGGGTATCCCGAGTGGGCGGCGCTGCCGTGAGCGAGAACCTTGAAGCCGAGCATGCCCTTGTGGCCCGCGACGAGAGCTGCCTCGGTTGGCTCGCCGAAGATGACGGTTTTGAAAGCGCTTTTGGAGTTGAGAGTTGAGTCTGAGAAGACTTTCATGCCGTCGCCGCCGATTTCTTCGCCGACGACGAAGAGAAGACCGAGCTTGGCGTCAGGTTGGGAGTCTAGTGTTTCGAGGGTTGCGAAGATTTGCGCTGCCACGCTGCCCTTTGCATCGACGGAGCCGCGGCCTGCTAGTATGAGACCCTCTGGGTCGAAGGTGGTGGTGGAGTCAGGCTGGTGCACGGAGTATGGGATGAAGGGGGGGACGGTGTCGATATGGCTTGTGAGGAGGATTGAGGGGGGTTGTGTGTAGGATTTTGGAATGGCAAAGATGTTGTAGCGGGTCTTGGTGTCCTCTTGGCCCTTCACTGGGGGCACCTCTTGCTTTACCACGGTGAAGTTCCGGGCCTCGAGGAATTGCGCGAGGAAGAGGCCGACATCATGCTCATTGCCGGAGATTGATTCGATCTTGACCAGGTCTCGGTGAAGTGATAGTAGAGGTGAAGTGCTGATTATATCATCTAGGTCTCCTTGGCTATAGCTGGGGTGAGAGGGCGATGATGGCACGCCCAGGAGCTGTTGCTGCTGGGGTGCGGGGTGCGGAGAAGCCTGCACACCGGACATGATGGCCGCAGCCACGAGATATGAAGAGAACTTCATTGAAAGTTTAAATTATGAATATGTTCCAATGGTGATGTTTTTGTATTCTAAGCAATTGGGTAAGCCCGACACCCAGAAAGTTGAGTATTTTGCGAAGCTTGCAGTAGGTCGGAGGTCCGAAATCGGGAATACCCAATGTATATGGTCACGTGGATGGATATATTGTTGACATCCACATATCCCTGATAGCTAGGATTAGATAGTTATAAAATGGCCTGAATCCTATTGGATACAAATTAGGTCTGTGATGCTTGTTTTATTGCGTGATCGAGTTGGATTGCCCCACTCGATTCATATCAGGCCGGATTTTTTAGATCGATATTTGTCGTCCAGATATGAAGAGGTACATGTCGGGATTCGACTCCAGAGTGTCACAGGGAATTACAGTTGCATGAATATGTATCTGGATGTCGGCGCAATGTCGGCATATCACGGGTATCACGGGTAATACCCACATTTCATTAGCGATATATCTCAGGAACGAGCCAAGAGTGATGAGGCCTTGAAAGAGATAAAGACTACTATAAATTTGGTATCTCATTTGGCGGGAAAGAAGTGCAGACACCTCAATTCTGTTGAGATTGTATATTTCAACCCTTACAAACAGATCAACTGGGATGATTTATGCCGTTAATGATCATCCTCTGTGTATGTATCTATGACCGGTTGACGAACAGTGATGCATCATGTCAGGTTTCCAATTCATATTCCTCAGTATGAATTCACGCAACAAAAGATTTCGGTGTAAAATTGATCTACAGATGATAATACATGGATCGTTTGGTAAGACTATTAGTGTAACCCATTTCCTATGTCGGGCCCACCTATATTGAGACATATACACTCCATACTCACATTCCCAACGTCGTCCGGCACTAATATCCCGAGCATATGGAAAGACTCAATTGTTATGAAGCGGAAATGAAGCATAGTAATGCTCGGCACGCTCTAAGTGGGGTGAAACTAGTGCCATATAAGCAGTGATCTACACGTTCATGCCAGTTACCCCCATAATGTATGACCTACATATATTTTGAAGTCTTATATTGTACAGTATATATCGTTCATAATGAGAATAATGAATAGTACTTTGCCACTCGTTGACCCCCCGAACGCAGATAATTTGGTTTGGATATTAGGTCGTTTCTTAGAACTATATTGGATATAAATATGGACTTTATACCCCCCCCCCTTGAAATGTATAGTTCCTAACACATTGCATTGTTCTATTCAATATTCCACAGCATTATCACTACATTGACATCGAAATCATTTGAACCAAAAAAGAGCATGGAATCTCATCAGAAAAGACTGCTTGCGAGAACGGTAGATCATCGTGCTGAAACCAATCCCAGTCAACGATTTGCAATTATACCGCAGGGATCGGAAATAAGCAATGGGTTCCAAGACCTCTCCATCAAAGACCTTGCACGAGCCGTGAACTTCATGTGTTGGTGGATTGAAAGCCTCATTGGACCAGCACAATCTCCAGAGACTTTGGCCTATATGGGGAGCAATGATGTGCGCTATTTCATATTTATGCTGGCATGCCAGAAGACTGGATACCAGGTAGGAAAATAAAGAAATTGGAGCTGAAGATATAGCAGTCGGACTGATTTTTATAGGCCTTCTTGCCTTCCTCTAGAAACTCGGACGAAGCCCATGTTCATCTACTGAAAACGACAAACTGCACCAATTTCTTCTTCAGCGAGGAGCGCCAGACACGAACCCTAGAGATCCAGGGACTTGTTTCGGCATTGGATATCTTCCAGGTCCCGACTATGAAGAAAATCCTCAGTGATGAGCGTGGTCTGCACCACTATTCATATACCAAATCTTGTGCCGATGCAGAGAATGACACAACATGCATCATCCATAGCTCTGGAACGACAGGTAAATTCCATGAATATGGCACTGTGAACCTGCGCTAATTTCCGCTACAGGCATGCCGAAGCCGGTGTATCTCACCAACGGCTTCTTCATGACCATCGATTCTCTTTCTCATCTTGCAAGGCCTGCAGGTCGTCAGCCATCTATGTTCCATGATCTGGATCAAACTGAACTGGTGCTGGCCACGACACCTTTCTTCCATCTAATGGGACTGATATCATTCGTGTTCTCAGTGTGGTTCGAAGTTCCCACTCTCATCGGCCCAGACAAACCACTCTCCGTCGACCATATGATAGAGCTGCTGCATACTGCTCGCCCTACAGTCGCAGTCTGTCCACCTTCGATCCTGGAAGACATGAGCCACTCCGACAAAGCACTAGTTTGTTTGAAAGAACTCAAGTCAGTCTATTTCGGCGGCGCACCTTTGCCCCTAGAGACCGGAGACCGATTGCGCAAGTATACCCAGATAATATCCATATTTGGAAGCAGCGAGGCCGGTGTGATCCCAGGGTTGGTGCCGGAAGACCCAGCCAACTGGGGTTACCTGGAATGGAACCAAGCCTACGGAGTCGACATGCAAGATGTCGGCGACGGTGTATTCGAGATGGTGATTCCTCGACAGGAGAATGCGCGCAACTTCAAGGGAATTTTCCACACATACCCCGACATCAATGTGTATCCAACCAACGATCTCTACACCCCACACCCGACGAACCCACATCTGTGGAAGTTCCACGGGCGTAAGGATGATGTGATTGTCCTAAGCAACGGCGAGAAGTTCACTCCTGTCGGGATGGAGACTATCATTGGAGGACACCCGCTGGTTGGAAGGGCAGTGGTAGTCGGCCAGTCCCGGTTCCAGGCTGGACTTCTCATCGAGCCGAGTCATGGAGGACCCGATATGGATACAAAGCTTTTTATTGAGGAGATTTGGCCGACAGTGCAAGTGGCTAATCAGACCATTGCGGCTCATGGCCGGGTAATGAAGAACAAGATCCGGTTTGCAGTGAAGACGAAGCCATTTAGAACGACTCCTAAAGGTAGCGTGCAGCGTCGGGCGGTGCTTCGAGACTACGAGAAAGAGATTGATGCGATGTATGCCGAAGACCCCGAAAATGACTTGGACCAGTGTCTGCCAGACAAGCTGGACTACGAGAGCGTTACAGAGTATATTCGCCAGATTATTACCCATGTTCTGGAAAATTCCAAGATCGCAAACTCTCAGGACTTTTACACTGCTGGTCTTGATTCTCTAATGACCATCCATGTCTCTCGGGTGCTGCAAAAGGGCATCCAGTTATGTCGGGCGGATGTGAAAGCAGGAACCATCAACACCCAGACGATTTATCGCAACCCCACCATCGACCAATTGTCTCAAGTTGTAATGGCCATCTTAGATGGAAAAACCCAAGCTGGTATCCCGCGAGCAGAGAAGATCAAGAGTTTGGTGGACAAGTATACATCCGATCTTCCAGCCCGGGAAATCTACCCTCAGAATGGATTGCGTTCACCTTCGACTGTGATACTGACTGGTTCAACTGGCTCATTGGGAACTTATCTCCTGCATTCTCTGCTAAGTAGCTATTCCATCACTAAGGTCTACTGCCTGAATCGTTCAGATGCCGAATCTCGGCAGAAGAAAAACTTCGAAGAGAAAGGACTGCACCTTGACGCAAAGGACTGGAAAGACAAGGTCGAATTCCTCCAAGCCTCATTTGGAGAACCACGATTCGGGCTAAACGAGTCCAAGTACGAAGACCTTCTCGACTCAGTTGACACCATTATCCACAACGCCTGGAAAGTCGACTTCAATCATTCCGTCGATTCCTTTGAAGACACCCACATCCAGGGTGTGCGGCGCTTCATAGACTTTAGCTTGAGCAGCCGCAGCAACGCTCATCTCCACTTCATCTCCTCAGTCGGCACGGTAGGCGCTTGGACCCCAGAAATGGGAGCTTCGATCCCGGAAGTACCGATGGAGGACATTGCCGTAGTTCTCCCTCAAGGCTACGGGGAATCCAAGTACATTGCCGAGCGGATCTGTCTCGAAGCCTCCCAAAGATCTCATGTTCCTACATCGGTTTATCGCGTCGGGCAGATAGCCGGGCCGACCACCACGCGCGGACAATGGAATCCGCAAGAGTGGCTACCGACAATTATCGCGACATCGAAAGCCATGGGTAAAATCCCTAACCGACTGGGCTCGACCGCGGTCGATTGGGTGCCAGTGGTAAGCCCCCATCACGAGCACTATGTTGTATATTTCGACCAGCTCCCAGAGCCGGATAGCCGAAAGAAGGGAAAAAAAAAAAAGGCCAAGACCTACCGCTGATCTTGCTTTATTTAGGACACTCTATCCAATATTATAGTGGAAATTGTCAACACACGCCATAAGAGCTTACCCGAAGCACGGTGGGCCGTGTTTCATCTCACGAACCCGGAACGAGCACCATGGTCGTCGTTGATAACAGCAATTCAGAGTCAGTATGCGGTCGAGCCAATTACATTTTCCGCATGGATTGCCGAGCTGGAAAGTATAACCAACCCCAGCAGTGCGGATATTGCCTCAAAGCCCGCGCTCAAGCTTTTGGGGTTCTACCGCGGGCTACAAGACGAGGGCAGTGCCCTGTCTGTGGCGCTGGATGTCCGGCGGGCGAAGGAGGCAAGTGTCAGCATGAGAGCCCTAGGCCCGGTCTCCTCCTCGCTGATGCGAAATTGGCTGCAGCAATGGCGGTTTTAGTTATATTGTATTATATATTGCCTCTAAGAATAGATTTAAATGTCCAAGACTGTGTATATCGCCTATATTATGTTATATGTTTCCAAACCTGGAGGTTTTTGAACATGACTAACCAGCCCGTGATCGGAGGGCCGTCCATGGTTCTCCAGGGCTTAATTGGGTGATTCACCTCAGAAATCCGCATGATTAGGTTTTTCTTTTTACTTGTTTTTTTCCTTTTTGTTTTTTGCCGAGTGGTCATGATTGGCCACCTGACATAGAAGGCTCAGCCTATGTCATTTTGGGATCCACAGTGGTCTGTTCTGTCCTAGTGACCTGCAGGGATGCCTTAGCGAGAGATGGGATCGGAGAGATCTCCAGGGGCAAAAATAAAAAGACAAAGAATCTGATATATCACAAGTATCAAGAAGTCACCTGAAGAATAAAAGTTGATTTGTCCAGCATGTCCCATTGACAATTGACAACCCGAGAATTCATCCCGGTTACTCTGTGCCAAGGCTCACTTCAAGCCCCGAAGGCACTCCCGGCGGGCAGAGGCAGTGGCGCCAAACACCATGGCTCTCTTACTTTTTCCCCTTCGCCTCTCCAATCATAGAAAAATGCCCCGAATCCCGAATTCCCCGAGAGAACGTTGGTTGGGGCCATGTGGACCTGACGTCTGCCAAAGGTGAATGAATTGGCTTCCTTCCAGCCGTGGAAGGGTTCTATTTCCCCTCTCCGGTACCTATTCATTCCGATAGTTCTTATGATTGGATGGTAGTTCACTCCTCTCCTCTCCTAGTACCACTTGCTACTGTACTGTCGTAGTGTTCTCATGTCTGTGGCCCAGGTTTAGTTCGGAGTTCGCACAAGTTCTCGTAGGACACCAATATACATACCTAGCACTCCGTGCCCTCCAAAATTTCGAACCGATAACCCTCCATTGTGCTACCCTACTCGTCATACTCGGACAAAGTTCTGACCTCTACGGGACGGGACCTTGTCCGCGGTTGCTCAACATTGTCGGAGCTCTAATACAAACGGGGTGGATGTACCAGTCCGTGCGTAAAATGGGGATGGATTATACCCAGTGGTTATTCTGGGCCGAATGGTAACCGACTATGGAGTAGAGGGGTACGTACATAGTAAACAGACCATAGCTGGATAAATAAAGATAATAAGCGGATGTATCCAACACCTTTCCCCCAATCTATGGAACGAATCAGGACCGATCGGCTGGGTCGAAATGGCATCATAATCGTTCCCCTCTTGAATCCACTTTAGTCTAGATTGTTTGCCGATCGCACACACAACTGGACTTTGTACCCAATTGAGAAAAGGGTTCTGGGGGTAATCGATGTAGAACATTGGGCTACACAACATATCTGTGTAGCCGTTGGGGGTGGTTTGAAAAACAATCGAATTAGATATATTCTACCTAGGTACATACAAAGTGCTTAATATGGATAAAATAGAGTACAAAAATATTTGATTTTTTTTTTTTAAAAAAAAAGGGATAAAATAGAAGGAAAGAACGCCTTCCAGACTCTTCAATACCATGGTTCAAGCAGTGTCAACCACCGGAACTCAACGGAGCAAACCTTGGGAATATGGATCGGCAAGTTTAGTCTGTTCAAGAGAGGTTTAGTCAACTTTTTTTTTTCTTTGGGAATCTCATGGAATTTCTCCACTAACGGTTGTTTGGACCATCTAGAGCCACATAGTAATCTCTTCTTCAGTTCTATCATTTCTCCCATTTCCCTCCCATTCTCTCTATCACCTTCGTCTACTCTCTCTATCAAAAGGGCCAGGGTAGAGAGTCTGTACGACCCAGGATCTCCCTGTTCGTTCAGTCCGTTTGCCGATTGTAAGCAAAAGCACCGAAACCCTCTCTTTCTGCCCAGCCAGTTGGTCTCGTCAACTTGTTTGGTCCACGTCGCTCGGTGGAATTCGTTTTCTTTTTTTCTTTTTTCTTTTGGGATTTTTAAATTTCATGTGTATTTTTGGGATTTTCTACAGTTTCCTACCTGGACGATAATCATATTTGTATTTCCAATCTTCATCGGATGCTAACTGGCCCTAGACCTCAGTTCCCGCGTTTCCCGGACTATTACTCTCTCTCATCACACCGCCACGTCCTTTCCCGCCCAAAGGCCATTAGGGAATGACTTGAAAGCATTGTCTCTCTTTATCTTGTGGTCACCCCTCACATCCAATGCTGAACTGCAACCATCCTCTATATACCAGCCCCCCCGTCCACCAGCGGCGCTCACTTTGTGAGAATGTACAAACTGTCTCAAACAATCGACGCGACACGAGAAAGTCTCGACGCGGCCGATTCAACTACACGCCAGCCGCACTCCCCATTGAATATTAATACCTCCGCGCCGGCCTCACCTGCCATCTCTTTGTTCTCCGCCGCAGGCCACAACCGGGTCTCTAGCTCCGTCTCTTCCCTTGTCTCTTCATCAGGTCTGGGAAATTCAATGGACAGTCCCAGTCGGAGTCATTTAAGCGGAGTCAAGGAAGAGGAATGCACACGCGACTCGTTGGAAGATCATTATTTCCGTATGTGTCAATCGCCACCGCAACAACTCCCCGGTCATACCGCAGTTGCTAACCTAGACTTTTCTTTAGAGCACTTCGGTCACGACATGTCTGCAGAAGAGTCATACTTTGCTCCCGTCGATAACTCAAATAGCTACGACCTGAGTGTTACTGGCATGGAGACTGCCCCATCACCGAAAAAGAGACGCTCAGACAGTGTCTCATCAAAGGGCGCCTCGCGCATTAATTCGCACATCTCGACTATGTCAGCCCGGTGGAAGACTAAGCGATCCTCCAGTGGTGCAGAAGGCGATATTTTCCCGGATGATCTACGATTACGCGCGAACTCGGCAGCCTCCTCCGCCTTGGCAAGCCCCATCGTTGGTTCCACGCCCATGAGCCGGGTCGATTCTATTCCCCCTTCTCCCGCGCGAACGATCTTCGAGGAACGCGCGAGCGAGTCCGGCGCGCGCCCAATTGATATCACTCGCGCGAATAGTCTCAGCCAGGACGACAACGACGTGCAGAAAGCGACAACACCTCTCCTGCCACCGTTTATGGGAGACGACCCAACAAGCGTCGCAGCATCCCGTGTCCAGTCGCCGTTGCAATCTCCGTCAGTCGCAGACGCGAGCGAACCGCACTGTAACTATAATGTGACCTCAGACCCGAGGTTTATGGGAGTTCTTCCTTCGCCACCACTCTCGTCGAAGCCTTCCGTGGCCTCCTTCAACCGGCCGCGAGCCAGCACCGTGCGCACAGTCTCAGGCGACGTAACACCCCTGGTTCTCTCCGATCCCAACGACGAATGGACCAACAAACTCGGCCACGCCAACTTCACCATCACGCCCGAGCCTTACGACCCTGTGGTTTGCGACCTCGGCAATTTCCAGCAGATGCGTGCAGACTGGGATATTGCGCGTTGCAACTTTGCCAAGCACCTCGTTCGCACTGGTGAACACTACGGCGTCACCTCGAACATCTACAAGCTTACCATCGAGAAATGGGAGTCGATCAACCGCGAGTGGGCAACGCAGCACGAGGCCATTCTTGACCAGCTCAGCGCTATAGATGGTGTTGCTCTTACGCTCACCCAGTCTAATATCCACCCTTGCCAACAAGTCCGTATCCCAGGCCTGCATGACAACGACAAGTTTCCCGAAATGGGGGATGAGGACATCGTCGGCCCAATGACTGTGGCACCAGCTACGGAGATTGCAGGTCCCTGCCGTTCTGAGAAAAAGAGGAATTTCTTCCGCTTTTTCCAGGATTTGGTCTCCCGATCTTGAGACCTGAGTCCTCTCGTTGGGCTCTTCTCCTTTTCCCTCCTTACTTTTTTTTCACATTTCCAAGCGATCCACAACGATAATGACGATAGATTATTCCCCGCGCGCCTTTTGATTACTCGTTCAATCTCGCCCGCACTGTTACGATTAATGTCTCTCTTTTGATTTTGATTTTTTTTTGAACCTTCTATTTATAATGACTCTCATGACTTACGATCCGGATCAGCGACTACTGTTCTCGCCCCGAATCATGCCGTTCCTTTGTCTATATCCCCGAGTCTTGTCTTTTCCGGGGGGGTTATCTTTTTTTTCTTCTCAATTCTTCGTCCTGGATGTCTTGCTACATCTCCAAAGACACCACAATCCCTTCAACAGCCGACAGAAAAAGAGAACGAAAAGTTAACCCCCCCCCCAACTGACTGCGTGTGCCTACCCTCCTTCCTCTCCTTTTGTTCTGTGTCTATTATATACTATACCCCCCATACACCAAGCCTACCAGCCGTTGTACCCCATAGACTTCAACCCTATCCACCCACATCCCTCTGCTCCACAAGCAGAACAGGACAAAAAGCCAAAAAAAAAAAGCACCTGAAAAAAGTACCATACCATGTTTCTATATGCATATATGCACAATCCACATATGACCATCATATGCAAATGTCTATAATTACATCTACATTTACATCTACAATTCTCAAATATGAACCTAATCTATTGAAACACCCATGTACATATCATTAGAAGGGATGACCCGGCGCATAATAGAATGAACATTATCGAAAGTGACTATCTACTATTCACGATTTGCTGTTCACGTCAAGAATACAGCGGGAAGCGCGTGTAGATGAGTCACATGTACAATAACACAGTGGAGAGGAAGTGACCTGGTACTGTGGGTCAGCCACGTTGTGAAGCTACCGCTATTTTGAACTTCTATTTCACAACATACGTAAGATACATGAACGACTGGAGTGGGCTTTTGATACATGATAACAAGTCTTGTATGATCCACTTGAGACATGTCCGGATTGGGAGAGGAGCTTAGTGCGAGTGCTGGTGCCTGTACCTGTCTGTGCCTTGGCTTGGCAAAGAGGGTCGCTCTAATCGTTGGTTTCTGATATTGTGAGTCAGAGACATCTTTTACAAATTCAAATTGCGTCTACTGGGAACAGTAGAGTGGAGGTGTCACTAGGCAGCGATGGAGTATTGAGTGTACTTAGGGTTGTGTTGTGTACTTGAACGTGATATTTAATTGCTTATCGCTTACTGTCAAGACTACATGTAAGTATGTAAATGTAGTTATGCGCGAATCTCGGGGGGATGTAGGTCATGTCTTAGATGGACATGAGCCGGGGAAGCACGATAATGGTCTTTACTATAACACATACAATATATCCCAAATCGCACCCCATACCCCTCCCTCAGGGTCCACGGCAGAGCTGAGAATGTCTTGATCTAAGATTATCACAGAACCGAAACATGCATTGATGCAGTCGAGATCAACATTCGCATTTTTGAGATCAGGTGAAACCCCGCCAACAGGTAATAAGTTCGTAGACACGAGCCGTGGTTCAGCTTCAAAGCATGCAGATAAAGAGAGATCAGGATTACGATGAGCACGATGCAGACAGACGTAAGCATAAGCCACGGGATGTCAGTAGCAGTAGTATGCAAGTGGTGGGACGTATATACCAGTCCTGGTCATTGGTACTTTCAAATCCAGTACTGGCCCCAAAGCCCCTTGGCCTCTTCACTGCCGTGGAACTGGAACTCGACGGGGATGATATCATCAAAGCCCTCGTCCAGCGTTGGTGCGCGGAAGCGGCGGCCGAAGTCGCCGAAAGCGATGCCAGGAAGGGAGGTTCGGGATTCGGGGTTCTGGTCGGGATGAGAATGTAAGATTGAGGACTAGATTGAGATGGAGATGAGGATATTGCCAATACATACCAGTTCTTTGTTGGACGCTCGGACGGCGTTGTTGTGCCGGCATAGGTCTGGCGTGGAGATGAATTGTACGCAACGGATAGGAATCTTGAGCTCTTTCGCGAGAGATGTCCAGTGAGCCCGTGTTTCTGGGTCGGCGTTGGTGTTATCTAGGTAGCCGGGTTAGATCGCTTGGAAACCGAAGCTGGTAGAAATAAATGCCACGACGTACCGACTGCCACGGACTTCTTGGCTTCCAAGTGCTCGCGGGCGACCTTGAGGCATTTCGGGCGCTATTGTTCATCAGTATTCGATTTTGGCTTCGTTTTATGGTTATAACACTTACCGTCTTGAGAAGATCTTGGTTGACTCGTTCATAGCCTAGAGGCTCCAGGTGGTTCCAGTAGAAAGTGGACTTCCCGGCACCTGGGCTGCCACAGAAGATAACAAGTTCGAGCGGGTGCTTGCGAGCAAAGGGTTTGGCTGCGATGAATACGTGTCAACAATCTTCTAGAGTTGGGTTTTCTTGCCGGGGGGGGGGGGGGGGGTTGCAAGTTCATTGAAAGCAACAAACACATACCCGGCTCTTCGAGATCCGACTTTATGAAAGACTTAGGGTCAAAGCCCATCGTCGCCGGCTCTGTGATCTGTCCGAGGAAAAACTCCTCTGGGGTTTTGAATGGCATACCAATGTTGGTAGCAAGTCCTCTAGAGCCGATATCAGATTTTATCACAACATGTTAACAGTTATGATGCTCTTACAGATCCACAGCTGAATGATCACCTGGCCTTCCAGCCGCATCACCAACGAAAACCGATGCGGGAAAGTCAACACCCGCAACGTCGAGGTCATAGTCGTCCAGGAACTCGCGCCACATCCCGATACGGGGTTTCCTATATTCAGGGTCTGTGGTGGCCGCGTAGACGCTGACGGGGAAATCCAGTTCCGTCATGACAGCGGTCATTTTTTCTTTGAAGTTTGACAGACTTTTCGAATCACTCCGTCCGCCCTTGATATCCTTCTGGACACTGATCTTCTTTTGGTTGGAGAAAATTACAACTTGGAAGCTGTTAAAAGTATAAGCTCGAGTGAACACAACCAATCATTCATCCCGAGTCTGGACATACCCTTCAGCATTGAGCTCCTTCAGTCGCCCTGGAACTTTGGCATTCCACCATTGCCAATCAGTGGCAGACTTGGGGAAAACATTTCCCGATTTTGTTTTGATCAAGGTTGAATCCTATATTGACGTCAGCAGTGCCTCCCTGTCTTTCGACGCTGCCTGTTCTAGCGGTCGGTTCCAACCACTAACCAAGTCAAAGCCAGCGATTCGGCGCAGTTTCTCAGTGGGAGGGGCTGCCTTGCCCGTGATCTGCTTTCCGATAATAACACTGGTGCCGATGACGCGCCATGTGATCGATTCGGGCTTCTTTTGCGAGGCCGGGGTAAAGAAGTTTGAGGCCGATTTCTCTGTGCGTTAATTACTATTAGTAGGTGGAACGCCCTAGTGCACAGTAATGACTTACTGGTTACCGTTGTCTCAACCTTCCGGCGCAATGGTGGTGGAGAGATGGCTTGAGTGGGGGAGGCGCCTCTCTTAACTGCTCCCTCCGCCATTCTGACAGTCCGGGCGAGTGAAAACGTCGTGAGAGGGTTATGGATAATTTAGGTGTGTGGTGGTTGATTCTATCGGTTTTCGCCGTGAGTTGCAGTTGATTCTGAGATATGTGTTGGACGCGCCGAGACGCGGGAGAAATCACGAAGTCACATGTTCTTGAATATTAAAGTGGACATTATACAGGCAGATGTGCGATATATTCAAATAATAAACACAAGAAAAATAGATAGGATGGAAGACGGTCTCCTGAGAAAAGAAGTGAACTCGGAATAACCCATTTTGATATCCCGGAAAGGGAGAATGAATGCCACGGCGCCGGAACGCACCGCAAGCTCAGACGGATGATATCTCGCGCGAGATTTGGGGGAGAAGGGAGGGGATTGGCTTTTATCTAGATAGGAGTTGCGAGGGTTTACCCGCTCAGCCAAGTTCTATCTGGACAGGAGTATAGGCGTTGATCTTTTACTTATGGGACTCTAGGAGTCTTTTGGGTCATATATGTTTCTGTGTTCACTCTTAGCCCAAGAAGGGAATGAAAATGAAAATATTCAGGTGACTTGATTGCTATGATGGGTATATTTCTTCTTTTCCCCCGATTAAAAAAAAGTTCGAGATGTCTATCAACGCCGTCGCCAGAGACCGGGTATTCCGTAGTCTCCGGCATGCTCAAACGAACCGAAGTAGGAGTGGCCATCTACTTCGCCCGCGTATCAAGAGACAGTCGATCTGCCTGCTCTAGGACAACCGCCGACTTCAACTGCTCGCGCAGGCCAAAGAGGTGCTGTGATGCAGTCTTCATTGTTTCCTGGTTACTACTGTCCTGGACAATGATGAAGGCTTGCAGCACATAGCTTCCGCTCTTCTCAAACAGAGTCATGTCCTTCAAAGCAGGCAGCTGCCGCCGGGGTAGATTCAACTCACCACCACCCGGGTAGTGCAGCACGCGATGCAAGAAGATAGCAATGTCATTGTGGATGAACATATCACCTTCGACCACATACTCAGTAGTAAAACTAGAACAAATAGCGTTAGTGCTCGCGATCATAATATCGATCTCGGGGGGGGGCCGCCACTCACTGATAGCCCCACGCATTCATAGCTTGCACGACATCTCCCCGCGGCAGCGTCGCGCTCGACATCAGACGTGACGTGACCGCTGAGCGGGTACCAGCCTCAGGGATATCACGAAACTCCAACTTCCATGATTGACGTTCATAGTCATAAGATGGAGACGATGAAGATCCATAAGGGTTCGAGTCGTCCATGCCGGCCATCTGAGTGTCTCGATCGACGGGGGCAGTGGATCCGAAATCCGATTCGGAAACCGGGCCGACCACCTGGGTGTAGTACATATTCCCATTGAGCATTTTGTTGAGCCGTTGCAGGTCCCCCTGTTGAAGGTCCTGACTGGCTCCGGTGCGCCCCGCCACACCTGGTTTGCGGTAGGCCTTGAAGATTAGCCGCCGCTCTAGGCAATGGCGGGGCTGCATAGCAGTCAATCCAGCAAGCTGCTGAAGAAGCTCATGATGTTGGTGAACTGGAACCGAGGCGAAAAGCGACTGCTCGTGCATATTGTCTGATTTGTGTGTAATGCAGCGGGTGAATCCGGGATGTGTTTAGTTAGGGTCCAAGCTTCCGTGGCGCAATTCTCCAAGGAACGTTATCAGAGCTCAAATTATTTTTTATGTGTCGCTCTTATTGCTAATAGCGTCTAATGGCCCTGTTTGATCTGTTTGGTTTGGTCTGTTTCTTGGCGTGTTCAATTGTTGTACTTTCCCGAAATGTTGGACCTTTTTCCGATGGTTGTGAAACTCTCTGGAATATCAATTCCGGTGCAAGGATGACTTGTCAAGGATGTGATTCTAATCCAGGAAGCGTTGGACTTTTGCTTCCGATTGCGGGGGAAAAGGTCTAAGCTGTGTGGGACAAATAAGCTTGACTGGTTTATGGGGAAGAATGGCCTGATGATCCAAGAGAGGGATGATGATTGGCGGATTGGATCTCGAAGAAAGGGGGGAAGTAAATACCAGGCACCAAGAAGGCACCGAGAATGAGGAGGAGCTCACTTTGAAGCTCACCGGAGTCACAGAAATGGGAAAGGATCGGAAAGAGGGCAATATGGCTTCATGGAGAAACACGGAGTTGTGGTGCCAAGGCAAGAAGCTGCATCGGAATCTGCTCCCGATGTAAAGTACGATGTGTCGATGTGTCGATGTGTTGAGGTGTACTTAATGTAGTCTGTACAATATAGACTGTTGATGTTTCAATAGTAAATTATAGTAGAAGTACTTGTTCTCCATTATACCGTGTACATAATTTACATACGGACATATAGTAGTTCCCCGGTTCCGAATCGGCTTTTCCCAAAACGGCAACCCTACCCTTCTTATCTTCCAGTCTTTTCCCTCCTTCCCCTCCTCCTTCGAATCCTCGAACTAATTTCTTCATTCTCTACGCGTTCGCCTTCTTTCATATACCCGAGACCATTCTTACTGCATTATAGAAACACTATAACTCGTTCTCTACCTTCCTCTCGGTCGGATTCGGATACTACCGGACCCGTTCAATTTCGCACATTCCCGCGTCAAATTGATCTTACCAACCTCCCACCTCAACACACCTAATACCTACATAACTACCACAATGCGTGTCACTTCGATCCTCAGCGGCACTGCTCGCACTCCCCTCATTCGCTTCGTTGGCAAGCGCTCCGTCCCTCGTACGTGATATTCCCCATTTCCGAGCTCCAAATCCCCTAGACTTGAACTAACCTCATATTCCAGAGTCCATCGATCACTCTCCTCGCGTTCACCCCGCCTCTCCCACCGGCTCTCTCCCTGACTCCTTCGCTACCTACCGTGCTAAGGCTCAGCAGCACGGCCCTCTCGGTCGCTCCTCCTTCAACGGCACCATTGGCGGCCACTCCGGCGCCTCGCTTGGCCCTGTCAAGCCCCAGAGCGGCGAGTTCTTCGATCGCGCCGAGCTCCCCTCGCGCTTCGGCCGTCTCCCCTGGACTCAGGCTGAGATTGATGCCATTGAGACTGGCGGCGCGAGCATGTTCGCATAAGCGTTCCCTCGGGCAAAATATACAATTTTCTCAAAATGTATGAATGGGGCATGACACTTCCTATGGAAGTTGCGCGATGAATGAGCTTGAGTCTTGGATCTCGATTTTGGGGCAGTTGCAACGCGGTCATCTTGACTTTGCCCGACCGTGGCGTTGCCAATGCCTTTGTGGTCGCTGGGAACACAGATCTGATGCTTGCTCACTCGTTCCGAGAGTTTCCGAGATCAAAAACTCTCACTTTATACCATGTTGTTTGTGATGGCTGGAGGCCATTCACAAGAACGTTTTTCTCTAGCGGTGATGCTTTGCCGCTCTTTTTTTTTTTCTCGGGGGTTTTTTTTCACTCGTTGTACCCGGCGCTGGTGGTTGATTTTTCTCGGTGTTCTATTTTCATGCGCAACACGCAGCTGTATCGTCTTGATGTCGAAAAAGCGGAGTGTTCGTTTTATACATAGATTGTGGGACTTGATGATTCTTGTTACATACATAGGCTCTGTGAGCACTATTCGAAGAAATGAATTTCTCGAAGCAAGACTAAACTTTTCTGATATGCGTATATTACTCTAGACTATACACTGTAGAGCTATAGAGCTATCGAACTATAGGCTTAACATTAAGTATCAAGGATCGTAAGGTACGTGGACTCAAGCACGTGCCTCCCCGACTCTACCTCGATCCGAGTAACCCTTGTCTACTTCCCATCCCGAGGCCTGGTTGAACATGACCTCCCTTACGAGCGAGACGAATAGGCTGACATTCCGGGAGACAGACGAGGCTGGAAATCCTACTGCAACCTACATCTACTCGGGAGATGTCGCTTCCCCAATTACTGCCTCAAAGACACCGGCTGGCCGAGTAGACGTAATAGTAAGTGGTCATTTCTCACTTCCCTATTGGATTTTTTAACACTGGATGTTTGGAATGGCACACAAGCCAAGTCAGTTCTAGATGTGGTCTTTCATTTTGTCGATGGGCAGGCCAACATCCCCTAATGTCGTCGGATATCTATCTGCCAATCACTTCATAATGAATTTGATTACTGGAGCACAGATATTATTTGAATTGTGCCCATTCAATCTCGATGTATCACATGCTGGTTCAAAATATGGATGTCATTGCATGATTCGGAAAGACACGCAACATTATATTGACACCTCAAAAGTTTTCGATCTTAACTGACCTATCACAACAGAGCTCCTCTTCATCTACCTCATCATGGTCAATTAAGCCTCTATTCAGCTCGCTGGGTGATGTTTTTCTTCCCTCTGGATACCCCCACAGTGTCAGCAATGACTATCTCCCGTGAGTACAGACAATAGCCTGTTGGAATGCATGAAACATCCCTATTCTACACGTATTAATATTCAACCCAGATATCAAATCTTTGTGAGCATACAATCCCCGGCTGTCAGCGACAGAAAGCAGAAACCTCGTGGCTCGAACTACCCTGCTCAACCAGACCAAGAGGAATATTAAGACACACCCAGAACATAGTTCTAACACAACCAATCCACCCTAGGATTCTCTTCAAGCCTTCTGCAGCTCAATAGCAGGCCTCCTCTCCTCCAGAGCCGTCCTCCAAGGTCCATATCCCACCACCCAGCCCAATTCTCATAGACCAAATCAAAGCCCGAGAGAAGCAACTAACACCAAACTCAATATACAGGAGTCGGCGTCGGTAACGCCAACGCCTCTCCAACATCCGCACTGCTCCTACACATCCTACAAGATATATCGGGCCGCATTGCAACGATCTGCTTCGCCCACCGCGTCGGCACAGCCCTCGAGCCAGAATGCAAAACTTATCGACTAGCAGCAGACGTCTTCAACGATGTCGCCATGATCCTCGACTGTCTCTCGCCGGGTGTTCCTGCCGGACCGCCGCGGGTGATTGTCCTCAGCACAGCCGGTGTCCTCAGGGCCCTCTGCGGTGTAGCTGGGGGTAGCTCGAAGGCGAGCTTGAGTGCTCATTTTGCGAAGTGGGGGAATTTGGCGGAGCTTAATGCTGTATGTGCTGATTTCAAATTCCCGTGATGCAATGTCTCGTTTGAGAATTTATAGCGAGAGAGAGAGAGAGAGCTAACGTGATATATTTATCGTGTAGAAAGACTCATCTCAGGAGACAGTCATTTCTCTTTTCGGCATGCTGGTAAGCATCCCATCCCACCCCTAACTCTCTCAAGAAACCCACCCTTAACCACAACCCCCACAGGTCGGATCTGTAGTCATCTCCCACATAACCAGCTTCAGCACAACCTGGCTCCTCCTCCTAGTCCTCCTAGCCCTACATCTAAGCATGAACTACGCCGCCGTGCGCGCCGTCCAAATGACAAGTCTAAACCGACAGCGCGCGAACATCGTCTTCTCGGCACTCCTTGACTCAGACAGGGGTCTAGCACTAGAACTCGATCTCGATCCTACCACACCCACCCCGTCCAAAAATAAATGGACAATCCTCACACCAGCACAGGTATCCAAACACGAGCGTATCTTCTACCGAGACGGAGCGTTGCAGTGGACGCAGCACTCAAGCACGCACACAACCACCCATCACCTAGGATCCGCGCAGATAGGCGTGTCGGTGTCTACTTTCCTCGGCGGTTCTGGGTCAGGTAACACATCGTTCCAACGCACCCTCCCGCTACAGCGACTTGCGGCTGTTTTCGCGAATGAGTTTTATATCTTGTTTCTCGTGCCGTTGTCGAATAAGGGAGGGAATGTGAAATGGCATGCTTCGATTCTTCTGAAGCAGGGTTGTGTTGTTGAACATCAATTGAAGGCGTGGGCTCAGGCTTTGCTAGCTACAAGAGTTCTAGCCCGGATTACAATGGGCTCTTCTATCGATGCGGTTCTTACTGTTGTGGAGGGGACGCTTGCTTTGCTAAACTCTGATAATCGCTTTGAGAGGTATCTCACGGGGCTGAGTGGTGTTGGGTGGGATGTTGATATTGCGGCTTTGGAGACGAGGGGTGGACGGAGGATTGATCTTTGATATTGATTTTTAGTTTAATGTACAGTTACACCTACACTTACGCTTTCTTTATGCTTTATTTTTGCTTCTGCCGTTTACCTTTTACTTTGATTTTCCACTCGTCCGGATCTATCCCTATAACTACATATCGCAGTCACATCAATAAGAACCCATCTGACGCAGTGCCGAACATTGCATGAGCATTAATCCTTGAAGGGCTTACGAAGGGGTTACGTGTGCATCTGTACTACGACCATTGGAAGACTATATTTACGTCTCCCCGAGCTCCCGAGCGACATGTCTGAATGTGGGTGTCCGACGTGTGTGACCGGGAGGATCGAGAAAGGTCTAGATAAGCCTTAGTTTCGGGTGTGAGAAAGGATACTCGGCTGCCTGCTCGGATCACGGCGGGTATTATTTCAAGGTCTTGAATTGAGACATGTTGGGAATGTGGGTAAGAGTCGAGGTCTTGGTTTTTGGTGCTGTTGGGTTTGGAATTGCCCTAACGGTCGAATGCATGGCCTATGCATGCCTGTGTAGCAAATTCAAGACTATGAACACAAAGTACGGTTTACACTCTATTTACGGGTTTACCGTTCAGGAACAATTGATGCGAAGAGGGGTATCAAGTCTATTGATTCTGAATAAATGAAACCCCAGTGTTGGGAGATGGAGACCAAGACAATGTCTCGTCAAAAAAAACGCCGTGTGCCCAGAAGACCTGAAAAGCCAACAGGTCTTCTATCCAATCTATATATGAGAATATGATATATATGGGTTTCTGTCCCCGTGATGCCATCCGCAAAAAAAAAAAAAAAAAAAAAGAGACAAAACGAAGTTGAAAAATGAGGATGCTCAGCCGGAGACATCCCATGATGAAAAAGAAAAAGAAAAAAACAAAGAAAACGCCGGTATCATATGCTTTCAATGCGTCATGCTCTCATACACCGCCAATATAAACGCTCGACGAAGGCTAGAATGAAGTCGTGGGATGATGCATTTCGGTATTTCATGCAAGATGTGTTTGAGATGAGAAGTGTCGTTGCAGGGTTCGTAGTTGTCGTGAGTCAGGAGACAAAAGGGTGTGTTTTGTAGGTTTTGTATATGTCGACAAAGAGTCGGAGTCAAAAAAGGGAGGAACGAGAAGACAATTAGTCGTCAAGACCAAGAATCTTAGGATCGCGACTGCTGCCACTGCTGCCACCAGTGGAACGCTTCTTAAAGCCAAGCTTCATGCCCATCTTCTTCCAAGGGTTCTCGGTGCGAAGTCTGGGGCTGTGAATGGGTAGATGCGGCTCACTGGCAGGCGGGGTGGTGGGCGGTGTCATGGGCTCTTCGGCGGTGGGACTGGACTGCGGGGAGCCAGAGTCATCGGTCAGAGACAGGTAAGCCGACTCGCCGCTAGTGCTGACCAGGGCGCCGGAAGTGCGTTTGCCAATGGCATGCACGCCGCCAAGGGACATGGTTGAGCGGTTGTGGCCCGTTGCGGGAAGATCCTTGGTAGAGGACTGCGGGGAGATGCGCTTCGATACGCGCGACCGGACCCTTTTCATGGGGTGCTCGTCCAGGCTCGTCGATGATAGACTCATGAAGTCGTCGGGGCCAATGAAGGGTTCGGAGGGACCCATGGAGGGGGAGGTGGTGTGGCTGTTGACGAAGGGGAGGAAGATGGATTCCTCCATCAAGTCGTGGATGCGCTTCACGGCGGAATCTAGCGTTTCCGGCACGGGCGGCGTAGGCACATTCTTGTACTGCAGGAGTGCATCTCGGACTTCGCTCGACAGGTTGATCTCGCGCGGTGACCCCGGGAAGATGTATGCAGTCAATAGGCGTTGCCACAGCATTCGCAGGTGCTGGGTTTCGGGGCATTCCGATTCCATATCGGCGGGACCGAGCCGTTCGGCCAGAGCGTAGTAGGAATCACGGTATCGGTTGGCTTCCATGGTGAATTCCAAGGTTTCGAGACAATGGTTCTGGGAGAGGTAGGCCATGAAGGCGCTCAAGGTGTATGGAGGAGGAGCAATGTTGGCCAGCACCTCGTCGAGAGTCGGGCGCATGGAGAAGGCCCCCGACGAGATGGCCAGGCTGACCGGCCGGGAGCCAGATGATTCCATATCCTCTTCGGAGTCGCTGTCTGAGGAGGTGGGGGACAATTCGGGGGTTGCGGTAGGAGTGTGGTGGTGGTTGTGGTTCCGGAAGAAGAGGGACGGAGCCAACGTCTTCTTTTTAAGCATAGCGTATAGTTTGCGTCGGGGACCCTTAATCGGCTTTTTTCTCACCGGCCGTCCCCTGCCTGTTGGACGAGGCTCCAGCTTGGTTAAAAGAGCGGCGGGTTATCGGGATATAGGCATATAGGATTCGCACGGAGGAGTCAGGGATGAGAGAGTATCGGAGGATAGGAGTTTTATAGAGACAGGGCAATATAAAATGAGATAATAAGGACAAGATATAAAAATTTTTATAAAAAAGACCGAGTGGAAATCCAAGCACTAAAGAAGAATAAAAAGGTCAAGGGCGGATTCTGGAATCATTCATGACGATACCTTGGGCTATTGGGGGGGGGGGCACCTCAGTAGACTCAAGTGGGCCTAGATGGAGACGCTAAACTAGTTTCTGCGCCCAAGTGGATCCTTCTTTCGATAAGATGTCATAATTGTTTTTTCTTTTTTCTTTTCTTTTTCCTTTTTTGGTCCCTCTTTTTCTCATTTGTATTTCTTAATTCGATTTATTCAGGTCTTTCTTTTCTTAGAATTTTCTGATTGGCCTTCGCCTTTTGTCTCATTGTGGCGACACGCTGAACTCTCACGTTTGAACAAGCGCCTAAGATCTGCAAGGGATACTTGGAAAATGTAAAAGAGGTACTCCGTACAGTCTTCTGTCAATATTAAAATGTAAATTTCGAACAACCTTACAAGATCAAGTATTATGTAACATGTGTATGTCTCTCCTTGTTGTGATCACTCCACAATCCTTCCAGAAGTCATACGTGTAAGCTTCCACGGGTTCTGGAAGGAAAAAAAGAAAAAAGAAAAAAGAAAAAAACCGACCAATGCGCCCAACGTGGCAAGTTTGAATTTTCGTTCCCCTGAACTCCACCACGGAACACGAGGAACTCTTCTGTGATTCAAGATACATTTTTCGTCCTACTACGGCGTCCTCCGTACAATATTATTCTATTTCCTTTTGAGATATTAACTCTTATATGTATTTCCTAATTCACGATAGACTCTTATCTCCCGGCCGCTAGCACGCCATCCGAGACCGGAATGTCAATCCTCGACCCACGGTTCTATGGTATTATAACTCAAGAATGACCAGACCAATACCCATAAAATACACGATAAGGCCGTGTCACGGCATTCCCTCCCTTGCATCGAAGGTACTCACTCTCCCAAGGTTGCTTTGTCTTGCACGTCATCTAAAACCCCCCTGTCACCTTAGTAGTAACTATGAAGTTTATAAAAACTCAAATCAAATTATAATATATCGGTATACTCCGTACACTAGTTAGGGCTTGTGTTCAATGCCAATATGGCCCTGCCGATCATTCCAAACCCGGTTCTTGAGATCATCTGTACCACATTGGAATGTCACACAAGCTTGTCACACAAGCTTGTCTCAATGTCTTCCTATAATTAATTAATATGTACATACTCGGGACTCGTGGACGCGTATGTGGAATTCACAGGGATTCGGCAAGGTACAACGTGCAACGTGCTTCTGAAAGAAAATACCGCTTGATTTGGTGGAGGCGAAATATGTTTAGTAGTCACCCGAATAACTAGTATTCGAACTATGAAAATGGTAATAGCGTCTAGAGTCGACAAATTTTTCAATTCAATGCTACCCTATGTTGTATAGAGATATATACAAACTGACGAAGGGCTATATATCCGAACAGTGTGACCGCACCCGGAATTGCCCAGACCTTCTAGAATTCTAGAAATCCCGTCGAAGCACTCTAGTTCTGCCTATCCATCCGATCGCCACATCCGTAAATCCTGAAAGAGAAAAAGCGACTAAGACATTAATATACGGAGTGAATGATCTGACCCCCCCCCCCCCCCTTGGATGGATTCAAGTTCCACACCCTAGTCACCCGTGGAATCAGAGTTTTTTTTTCTTTTTTCTCGTAGATCCGGATGTCGCCACTATCATGATTCATGTTCTGTTTGGTTTGTCCCGAGTCTACCCATATTGTAGAACACATACGCATTTCTATGCATGCCAAGCCACACCATCCCTCACGCTTGACATGAAGATCGTGATTTACGTATTTTTTTCCCCTCAAGATGGAGTACAGTGTTTGGCCGAAATAATGGGCTCATACCTTGCGACATAGCCCACATCAAACACACAAAAGTGGGTGATACTGCCGATTGAAACCGAGGGCCAAGACTTGGGAGCTGGAGACAGATCTGTCCGGAGGCTTCAAGGACCTCCGGCCTTATCGATCCACTTCTTTTCGCAGATAAGAAGATTCGAGTATCTATTATATCTCTTATCACATACAAAGAATACGAAGTATCCGTACAACATAGGGTTGACATTCGAAACATAGATTGTGTCATAGACCTGTCTTCACGAACACTCTGGCCCGAGATAAGGTTACTGTGAACATGGCTCAATGAAGCTTGGTTTGCCTATCACCTCACATTTTGGATTTGACAGGTCAAAGACATAAGCAATGCCATGTAGACGTCTGGATTACATGACAAAGGCTAGAACATAGAAGACAAGTGATTATTTTAATAGATACTAGTTGCATTATGGGGCGAATCCAAGACGAATCCAGGACTGGATCAACTTTACTACTTGCCATGTACCGAGTCCATCTCAAGGTCCAGACTAACAGAATAACCAACTATTATTACAACCTCGACGGTCAGATAGCAAAACAGTCAATCTTTCTTTTTGGTGTTATGCAACTAATTAAATTCAATCGGGGCACAGACTGGTGGAGGAACTGTCAAGTGCCATACGATATAGAAATATGCACGGTAGAAGAGAGCAGCTACAGCATGCAGATAGATAGGTAAACCGACCAGCGGCATTCACATACGTTGCAAATGCAATGCAGCAAAAAGCAAAATCACGCACAGCACGTCAACCCCAATAGTAAAAACACCTCAGCGCGATAAGGCAGCACGCAATTACCGCAGCTATCCCAGCAAATCCCAACCACGAATCGCAAAACACGCGCCTCGCAAAGACCAAGTTAGATCCATGGAGTCTACCCACATGTCTGTCATGGCGAAGTGAAAACAAGCCCGTCTTAAGCAGGGACAGGGATACAAGCGGTTGCATGAGATATCCACCCAAGGCCCCCCAAACCCCAATTTTCGATCGTCTCCAGGCTAAGACTAAAACAAAATAGTCCATACAACATAGGAAAAGGAAAAAAGGAAGATCCACAATTTTCCCCGTCTGATGTCCACGGCAAGGCATCGAGGACAACAACCCCCCACATCGGTGCGCACGGGATCAAGGTACGCCCTTACCGTGGCCGAGCTGGCCTTCGGTTTCCCCTTTTGTTCTTGGCGTGTTGGCCTTGAATGCGTCTAGAACAATGTGTGTTTCCCGTTTAGCGAAGTGGATATGTGACTCCTCTCTTTTTTCTCTTTTCTCTTTTTTCTTTTTTCTTTTGTTTTTCTTTATGGGTCGTGTCTTACTGTCTGATCATGTATGGGGTACATTTCCATTGTGGCGCTACTGTAGGCCCTAATGCTGGCGGGGAATTATGTTGCTAGTGGGAAGGATGAGGCTTTTATCTTCCTTCGCGTGCTTTCCCTTGCTTTTTTTTTTTTTCTTCTTTTCCCTCCCGTGTATGGGGTATTCGACGCACTGCGGTTCCTTGGGGTTGTGGAGGGCAGATTGTGGCACATCTGCAGATGGCTTCAAGGATTATCACCAGGATGTTTGCTGGAACACCTACGGGGTAGGCATGCCGTTTTTCATCACTAGAATGAGGGGATGAACAGGGGTGTGTTATAGTCGTTATTGACTCGTGCATCTACGCCCATATTACTAGTACCTGCACGATCCTTGACGATAATGACATCCATATCGAGTACCCTCGGTATCTTACTTGGTTTGCTATACACAAAGTTCGAACTTATTTTTGGTCTTTCCAGCCGACATTATCTGTATGATTACAATTATCCCACGAGTTCGATGTACTGTAGGTAGTGACGCTGTACATGTACATAGTAAAGGCTAAGTAATAGCCAAAGCTATAGCTAAATACGAGTCAAGCAAGGAGAAAATATAATCAACCAAGCAATATGCCCCCGGATCTACCCCTGAAACCGTCTTTAGCCTGTAATATCGTCTTCACAACATATGATGTGCAGCCGATGAGAATGGAGTTACTTAATCATGGCAGGGATCGAAATTACCACCGAGAACTATCGTCACTAGTTGAGCCAGTCACAAAGTAAGAAATTATCATCTAAGAAGAAGATTGCAGATCTACACGGGATCATCACTGATTCGGAAGAGAAGCAATATATAACGCGGTTCCAGACCAGTAAGACACCTCCACAGCCCCTTCTAGCTAGACTTAACACGAGAACATTGGAAGTTAAACAGAACTAAAAAAACTAAAATACAAGGAAGAGTCAGGAAAAGTCACCCGGCATCCCAAAACAGCACAGCGTAGTCGATCAGACGGCAGGTGCCGCGAATGACCTCATTTTTCTCCACAGTTTCAACTGCAATTTTGATTTTAGACGAAAAAAAAAACCCCCAAAACAACATGAACCTGAGATACAGTAGTTAATATGGCATTAGCAAGAGAACGATCGAGATCAACTCTAGACACGTTTCAGATCTCAGCTCGAGCCATTCGGGGGCCACGATGATGATGACACTCGACTCTCTGGAGTACTCGGTTCCCGGCGCTACGTGAAACACTCACTCAGCCTTGGATATTGCGAATTTGGGTAATCTATTTATCGCCAGATATGGGAAAAGATGCGGTTTTCTCTTTTGTGGGGAATCTATTTGACTAGCTCGTTCTAGACTTCGTCTTATCACCTGAGGCGCTAAAGGCCATTTCTCTTTCGAGGTTTTATTGGACCCTCAACCACAGATAGCTATGACATTCATGTTAACTATGGGTGTAAGATAAGCGACTTGCTATACAATTCACAATTCACGGGGTATCTGGGTGCTATTCCGTTACCATATACGACATATGCACTCCGGTCTCCGGAGTATCGGCAGTCCGGACCTCGGGTATATATGCTGTGTTTACTGTGTAGGGAATGGCTGTTTCATGTTACGCGCCTGGATTGACCTACAACATACCATATTGTGTCAATTAAAATATCTATAGTTAGAATTGGCTGATCGTCGCTTTTGTGGATGTGTAGAATATAGTGTGATGGGCAGGTCGGTCCTGTACTCCATACTCCGGATAGCATCGGCTTCCACGTACATCACTTTTATAAAGATATTCAGTATCACATGCAGGATTTCAATAGCTCACATCATCCTTGTATGGATAGTATCAAAGGCTATGCATAGAAAAGTCTCTTGCGCAATGTTTTTTTTACCGTCGTGTACACCTAAAACGAACATCCAAAAAGAACATCCAAAAAGAACATCCAAAAAGAACATCCAAAAAGACACAAGGGCTCATAGGAGGTTAACTATTCTTGTAATAATAAGGTGCAATTAACTCTCGTACCAAAGTACCAACTTCTCCCCTTATCACATATATACGAGTATCCGTCCTCAAGTCCACTATACTATGTAAACCAAAATAAAACCCCCTTGTCAATCACCCAAAAACCAAGTCCAAGCTCAAACTCAAGCCCAGCTCCAAACCAATAACGACGTCTCTCACCAGACCAGCACCTAATCCCAAACACATAAGCCAATCCGAACACAGGAGAACCAGCCCATCCCCGCAGAAAGCCCTCAGCCCATCCACGCACCCATGCACCCACGCGCCCATGCACTCATGCACCCCAAAAAAAAAGCAAATAGGAAGAAAAAAGAAAAGAAAAAAAAAAAGAAAAAAACAGAAACTCCTCTGCCTACCTTCAGCCACGCCAAGACTAAGTCGCCAAGCGGGGAAGGAGATAAATGCGGGGGAATATGCATTGGCATTCGCATTAATGCTGGAAAACACTCCCCATTACACATTACACATTACGTCGGTCGATAATCCCACTCTACTCCGACTGGCTGCCTTGTTCGGGATCTGAATTGCTCTGCAAGGTGGACCGAAAGTAGTTCCCATGAGCCTTGGGGGGGGGGGTGTTTATCCTCTGGACGTTGGGTATGTATTGGGATTCTGGATGTTCTTGGCTCTTGGCTGTGTGGGTGGCTAGTGCATATCCGTATTCACTGTTATTCACTGCGCATGCAGGTTCTGTGGGTGTTATTGGTGGACTAGGACTGCGCCATCATTTAACGACTTGCCAGGGTTCTCTGGGGGGAGGGGGTGGATTTTGGATTGTTATTGGTTGTAGCTAAAAGTACACGGTGGGATGGGTGGGATGGGACATGTATATCCGACTGTGTGGGGAAATGACTTGCTTATTGGGTCATGGGGTGACTATCTGTGGTATCTATACTTTAGGCATATATACAAGTTTCTATGATACTTTTAGACATGGTTTAGAGTTCATGCCTGTTTCTGCAGAGTCTGGGGATGATGATCAATGATCGACGGGGTGCCTATGGTGATGGTTTTGGTGGTTTTGGTGGTTTTGGTGAGCAATTGAAATCATATGGTGGTTATTGACACATTCTTGCTAGGCTCAAGATGGAGATGCCGGACAGTGAGGTTGCTTTGCTTTTACATTTCCTATGCACGTATTCTGCACTGCTAGAGTGGGCAAGGGTTGTCGTTGAGACATACTACTTTGGGCATATCGTCGAAGGATGTCACGTCTCTCGACTACTCCACCCCATTTTAACAAGGTTACTCTGTTGGGCGACCTACGTCATGCTATGACATGCCACGGACTGGTGATCCTTGCATTAGCGTATCATGTAGACCTGCAGAACGGTCCCCAAGTAGTGTGGCTGCACACCATGTTGTCAATTGGATATCAGCCGAAAGCTTGTGATTGTCGGAGCAGAGAAGTGGCAAACTGAAGATGTCAAAGACCAATGGTATTGAAAAAGCGATACTACAACTGTGGAATTTGGGGGAGTAGAAGGGTCGAATTTCTATGCTGCTATTTCACTTGTTCGGGTAGACTTCTAATTACTTGACTTCACATGTAGTCGTATGTATTACCTTGTTCATGTAGAGCTATATATTTTTATAGTACTAGCATTTGACAATGCCTTCTACGCACTCATTCCTATGCATCTATATTGCTAGGCTAGACTAAGAGAGGATATAAAAATGCAACAGCTCTTATTACAGGAATTATTTATATACGCCATACGAATAACTGCAGAAGACGTACAAGAACAAACCAAATGAAAAAAAAGAAGAATGCTATCTTATGCCTACCAGTAACAAAAAATTCGCTTCTGAAACAGAGCAAGAAAAGACAAAACAACAAAAGACACGATTATAGACATGGACGATAGATCTTTGGAACAATCAAAGGGCAGAGCACGCGGTTGATGCGAAAGGGGAACGGGGAAAGGGACGGGGATATATGCAATATGCTCCTCCTTCAGTTTCTGCATGCAATAATGAAGATCACGCAGTGAAAAGGAAAAATCCCCCCCCAGATGCACACAGGATGGGAGGAAATAACAAAAATGACAATGGCAGGACCATGGTAGACGGGCCGGAGGAAATAAAGCACCCAAATAGAAACGAGAGTTGTCTGGTGTGCTTGTCCGGTTGACGAACGGGACGAAATGACGCCGAGAGATGTATACTAGAGATATGGACAAGCATGGCCCAAGACCAGTCGATTCTGATTGTCATCTCTCGCAACTCGGTTCATCCTCAGGGCGGATTTGTGTCATTCAGCCTTGCCAATTCTGGTGCGGGGGTTGAGGCCATTGATCCAAGTTGTTTGTCTCCTGAGCCAGCGCAAGAAACAAGGCCCCAGGGCGGCGTGCCGCAAATCAATGGCATCGAAGGATCAACCGATGAGTACCCGCCCATTTGAAAGACCAAGGGTTGATATTAAACGGTGCACGCCGGATATAGTGACGAGACGGGGAAGCAAAATCGAAAACACAAGACAAAACTCTCACAAGTTCGCCGTTCCGAGTCGTAGCACCATGAAAGAGTGATGAGACGTAACATCAATGAGAGAAAGGTTGTTCCTACCCACAGTCAAATGTATAAGGCTGAAGAATCGAATGGGACAAAAAAAAAAAAAAAAAAAAAGAGTATGGCCAGAAAGTGATATAGGCCGAGAAGCGCGATTCTTGCTCGGCGAAGCGGCGCTAACCACTTGGTCACAAGGCAAGAAACGAGCGAGAGGGGAAAGTAAACAAGAATAAAACAAAGAAATCCCATGCAGACCTCCTTAGGCCATTTTCTGACATGAAGGGCAGGAAGCAGAGGTGAAAGCGTGGCGCGGTAGGTCTAAATGCGCCATCGCTTCATTTGACTGGAATTCAACCTGGATCCTGAGATGAGCTGGGCGCTCAAGTGACGCAGCACAGCTGAATCACCTGCCGCAGCACAGAGCCTTCATCAACTTCTGCGTGAAAGTGGGTGGTGATTCAGGGGTACTTGGGGCGCCGAGGGGTTGTTGGCTACTCAGTCCCGGGTTCCCTGGACTTCCGTTGCGACCGGGGAGGTGGGCATTGGAGTTTTGGAACTGTGCCTGGGTTGACGCGGCCGGCGTCGATGCTTCCACCCCCGCGCTCTGGCGTTTGGGAGGCATGCCGCCGGCGCTTGGGCGCTCGCGCGTCTTTCCAGCTCCAACTTTGGCTGGAGAAGGAGGCGGGGGCTGCGCGGCGTTTAAACGGTCGGCTGTCACTCCCGGGCGCTGGCTGTTGCGAAGCTCTCTTGCATGCAGGTCGCGACCGGACGAGCTCTGGTGCTGATTGTGGAGATGCGCCTGAGATGAATAGGATTTGTAGTCCCAGCCCCGTCCGTTGTTGAGCTTCATCCAGTCATACTCGCCATCCTCGACTTCACCGGCGTTCTTGAGAGCTTGTGTCAAGATATCACGGAGATAATCGTAGTCGGGAGTGTCCTCGAAACCAAGGTTGCGGACGTAGCTCAGGTATTTGTTGAATTCTTCTGGCGGAGTGATTAGTAGATGGATATGGATATGGAGAAAAGTGAGATAACATACCTGGATAACTATCGCAGAGGTCCTTGATCGCCGTCGTTTGCTTCTTCTCGCCAATCTTCTCGTACTTCTGCTTGTTGGTAGCAGCCTTCAGGCCCTGCCAGGGAAGGCCACCCCGCAAGAAGTACATAAAGACATGACCGAGAGCTTCTAGGTCGTCACGTCGAGATTGTTCACGGCCCAGGTGCGTGTTGATACTCATGTAGCGAGCAGTGCCAGACAAGGATTTGCGCTCGCGGTAAGGGATGTGTTGTTTGGTCTTGGGATCGCGGTATTGCTTGGCCATACCGAAATCAACCACGTGGATAACGTTGGCAGCCTTGGTTGATGGCCGGCCAATAAGGAAGTTGTCTGGCTTGATATCGCGGTAGATGAGGTTTTTCTCATGAATCGTTTGGACGCGCGAAAGCTGGTCAGTAATAATTAGCTATGGTTCATCTTGTAATTTCAAGCAGGAAAAACGCACCATCTGCTTGGCTACCATCACAACAGTCTTTGTAGAGAAGCGGCGGTTGCAGTGATCGAAGAGATCCTCCAGCGAAGGACCGAGAAGATCGATGACGAGAATGTTGTGCAGGCCCTCCTGTCCGAAATAGTAGACATTGGGAATGCCAGCTGCCACCAAGTTAGAAGAGCGCATAACATAATATTTCCCGAGACGGAATACTTACGGCATCCAACCAGAATCTTGTATGTCCGGTACTCATCGCGGAGTTGGGGTGCATCGCTTTTCCGGGGTTCCTGATTTCAGGTTAGCCAGGGGGAGGCTTCACCGCGACGAAGGGGAAGGGGAGCATACGAATTTGATGGCAACCTGCTGGTTGTTCAGGAGGTTGGTGCCCTCAAAGATAACACCGAAGGAGCCTTCACCAATCTTCTTGCCCACACGATAGTGGACACCCACTACGTTAGATGACGAGGAAGCCATGGATTCGGGAGTGAGGATTGTAACCCGCGGAGAAGGGAAATTGCTTCAGGGACGTAGACACGTGATTGATGCTATCACTGGGCGCAGTCAGCACACACGAAATCGGGCAACGATGAGAGCGATATCAAAGAGTCTGGTCACATACATCACAATGACCTCTAATTTTTGCGACCGAAGTAGCTCTAACAGGCTCAATGGGATCTATTTGCTCGATAGCCGATGTACTGGTGACGGCGATGAAAGGAGACAGGGCGGCAAACGGAATGCACAATCGGGACAAGATCAAAGGGACGTAGGGGCGTATAAAGCCGAAGCAACCGAATACAAGCGGAATTGGCAGTGCTGAGCAATAATTGAGGCGGTCGTGGGTCCTTTTTCAACGGTCGGAAGACGAGCTGGGGCTGGAGCCGGGAGGAGGTTGTAGAGAAGCCAAATAAAAGGGTAAAAAAAGGAGAAAACAAAACAGAGAGTGCACTTCGACCTACTGCGAGTACGAGCCGCACTGAGCAGTGGTTCAAAGATAGACCAGAGGACCTGAGAAGGGAGGAGATGGAGGAGAAGAGAAAGGGAAGGTGCAACACTCTAGGGGAGAGAGAGACAGGGAGCGGAGGGTATTGGGTGCGTATTGGTAAAAGACGCCCTAGAGGGGGGTGCAGGAACTGGCGGTCACGGCTATACAGTGTATGGTAACTTTAGGATTGGGGGGAAATCTTCTGTGAGAGCTGGAGGCCAATAGTCTTCATTGTTCTCTCCATACTCTCGACATAGTACTATTATTAAAAGGCCTCTCCTTAGTTAGTTAATTAACTATAATAATGAAATTTCAAGATTACTAGGGAAAGCCACCAAATTGGCTCTTGAATATTCCTATCTGTAGCTCAGACCTCGGCGCTTCCGAAGCGGCTCAACCTTTCAGGGCTGCATTAACCAGGCACCAAAAATATTAGTGAATACCTACATGTAGCTACGTATCTGTTACTTCTATGGGTAGAGGCACACCTTTTTTTTTTTTTTTTTTCTTTGGAGGAAGAAAGCAGAATTGCGGCCTGGACCCGAATAGCATACATAGAAGAAAGCCGATTCGTTTTTTTCTTTTCCATTTCAGGGGAGTCCCCGTCTGGAATCGGTCTGGAATGCGGTTAATCAGGTAATATTACCGTCTTGGCAGGAACTCGGTGTCTCCCAAATTGACTCTAATGTATTGTACGAATGTACGGAGTTCAACGTTTCTTATGTTGTATATGATATACGTCTAGTAGCTTAAAATATGACATGTCCACCAGATACTCTGACTGTAAACCGCCCCCCCAAGTTGGAATCTAATCCTAGGATCGTTACATTATAGCAGATATCGTAACAAACAGCTCCGTATTGATTGCATCCTAATGGTTTTCGGGAATGTCCTCAGCTTCGCTCCCAAGTTCATTTTCAACCATGTCTTCATCACTATCCTGGCCAGCATCCTCATCATCCTCATCGTCATCTTCATCACTGCTGGACCCGCTACCTTCACTATCGTCACTGTCAGGGTTGTAGTCTTCCTCCTCTTCATCTTCTTGGTCTTCAAGCTCCCGCTGGGCTTTCTGGAGTTCGCTTTCATCTTCACCGGCTCCCTCAGCGGTGGGTGCCGCTGCGTCCTCTCCGCCAGCTTTATTGACATTGTAGACCTTGGCGCGCCGCGCCTCTGCGAGACTAGCATCCTGAAGACCGTGTCGTTTGATGTAAGTATCAATCCCCGAGAAATTATCCTGATCAATCATCGAAAATTCGAATTCCTGGACATCTTCTTCGGAGCCATTCGCGGGGCGAGCCATGATATTGAGATTGAATGTCCGCTGGAGGACAGATGTATACGAGACAGAGTCAACGGTAGCAAATGAAAAGAACAGAAGCGGTTTTTTGAATGCAAATAAGATACCCGTAGAAAGAAGGAAGAGGTAGCCTGGCGCAAGCCAAAGTATGTTAGAATGATCGAAACTAAAACCAAAACCATAATGGCTTCCAGTTAAATGGAGATATAGATATAACATACCTTCTTTACTACCGCGGAATGCCTTGACATGGTATGCTTTGTCGCCCTTTCGGTGCGCCTCAGGCATGGCACTGACAAATTGCTTATCATCAGGGCGCACAACATTGGTGTGAGGCATGTTCTCATTCAGAATTTTGCGAATAAATGCCTCGGCCGATTCGCCGGGGCCGTGGCCAAGCTGTTCCCCGTTTCCTGAGAATGCAGCCTTGGCTGGTCCATCGGCTATTGTAAAAACCATAGCTTCGGAGGCTGCTGTTCCCTCGGGCGGGGGTGTGATGCCATCGGCGTACTCGGGAATGATGCAAAAATTGAACTGTTTCTGGGTCTTCTCCGGCACAGGAAGACAGAGGGCATGTCCTAATTTAACAAGTCGTGTTAGTAACTGTTAACTATTTGCTTTGGAAAAAAAATGTTTTTCCAGTTCAAACTCACGAATCTTGTCCATAGAAACACCAAATTCAATCTCTTTCGTAGCTTGGTTTCTTGCCCGAAGATATTTATGCCCAGCAGTGATCTCAAGCGTAAGCTTCTTCCTCTGTGGCGTAGAGAACGAAATATCTTGAACATAAAACAGCACTGGCGCATTGCCATCTTTCAGGTTGACTGACGCCTGCGCAGTCTCCCCGGAGTCTCCATTCTGAAGCTTGCGCTTTTTAGCGGCAGGTCCATCAGCGGCTGGGGGCCGCGAAGGGAGGAGGGTAGTGTTGGCAGTCCTGGCCAGCAGACTGGAAGTATATTTCGCAAGATCTTCGAGCAGAGGTTTATGTTGCGGTGTTGTGCCTAAACGATAAAAACCCATTGGCGACAGTCAGTAGGTGTTCGACGGGGTCATCGAATGGGGGCGTGGGTGCGCTGTTGGCTACGCACCGATCGCATCGTAGACTCGCTTCTTCAGCAATGGTTCCGTCGCAAATGCCTCCTCGATGGCGGCGATGGGCGCGCCCTTAGAATTAATTGAGGCAAACGCCATTTTTTTTGCGACTGCTTTGGTTCAAAAGAACAGCAGTGCCAGGAGATGCAGGTTAGTCGGAGAATTGGGGGATGAACGTAAGGGTGGACCCGAAGTATCCGCATTGACTGGAACCCTAACTTGGGATCATGTACTTTGTATGTGTATCTACATACTCTATATGAATTCAAAAGATGCAAATCCGAAATAACTTAATCAAGAAATAGATATATGAGTGAATGCAAAGCTTCATACTAGAATACAGTGGTGTGTTTACACAATGCTACAGGGGAAAAAAAAAACACCCTCTTCCGACTTCCATCTTCTTCGCCCAATTAAGCTGCCTGCTTAGACTTTGACTTTGACTTCTTTGGCTTCTTGAGACGCGATTCGTTTTGGATGTGGTTGTTAATGAAGTTGATGGCATCCAGTGTCAATACCCCATTCCCGTTGGCATCCAAGTTCGCCTTTCTCGCTTCCGCAAGTTGAGCAATCTTCAAGTTTTTGGCATCTGTCTGCGGTGTCATCATGGAGACAGTTTTTCTGTATTCCTTGCGATAGTCCTCCTTCATCTTCTCTTTGAGGTATTCCGGATCGTGTCGAGTGCGGAATCTGGAGTATTTGTTGCGCAGCTCATCAATGACTGTTGAGGGCATAGGTGGCTGCACCAGTGTGGGTGTGAATGTGCTTGCCTCAACCGCCATTCGTGTTGTGTCCATTTCACCGTCGGTGATGACAGGCTCTTCCTCCAATGGCCAAGGGATTTCGACGTCCAAGCCGGATACATAGCGAGTGAATCTTGGGAGCTTGCTGTGCTCACTTCGCTCGGTGTACGGCCCAGCAGCATAAGCGTGCTGGACAATGACGTTCTGCATCTTTCCAGTCTTTGTGTCTTCCAACGGAATGACGTGTCGGATGTCGTCGAAGGACACGGGGAAGGACTGTGGTTGGGTATCACCTGTGTGTCCCATCCTGTCTTTGGCCCATTCGGGAATGACCACGTCGGCCTAATTGAGAGACAGCGGTGAGCATTTTGTTTTAGTGACCAAGAGGTCATTGACCTGGATGAGTGGTTCGCTGGAGACATACCATGTTGATACCCTTGATGAGGACAGTCTCACTGTCCCGGTTGACCTGCTGAATCACATTGATCTTTCCCTGATCCCGTCCTCGCACAACGCAGACCCGGTCACCTTCGGCGAAGAGGACATGCCTCCGTTGTTCGTGCTTAGGGAGGCGCGGCGGGTGCAAGACAGAAGCATCCTGACCACCATATGTAGTGCGCTGCAGACCAGAGTCTCGCATGGGAGCAAGAGGCCCCTTTTCCCAATCTTCCCAGCGGTTCTTTCGTGCTTCTTGGAATTGACTAGACAGCGCGCCGCCGAAGTCCTTCCGCGCCCGCCGAATTCCAACACGCTCCAACAATTCCTGTCGTTCATGAGCTTTGTTGGTTCTTTTAAGAGCTTGCTTCCGCGCCGAAGCCGTCCGTTGGATAACTCTCTGCATATTGGGTGTTGTGGTCCAGCAATGGCCGAACGTTGTCTCTGCCTCAGAATCCCCGACTCGCGGATCGAAAATTGAGGGTGTCCGATGTACCACGTGATCCAAGGTCAATACATATTATGTCAGCACCAGCAGCGCCGCCTCTAAATATTTAAGTATACCAAGGCCAGCCCTCATTTTGCATTGCTACATGCTAGTTGGCGATTTAAACCCTTTTTACTATTTTCTTTGATATCTAGTTGCACACAACACTCTCTATTTGCAGGGAAAAAATACTCGTGAAAAAGTGACAATGAAGGCCAGGAATGATCGACAAGTTCCAACAACGCCAACAAGGCTGATCTCGATAAAACCCAGAGTTTATGGATAAATTCCCCTAGAAGTAGACCACCGTCAAAGATCGTGGTCACACTGGAAATTCCATCACGCCATCATGATATCAAAAGGATATTAGGGCAACACCATGATCAAAGGCCTATATCCGAGGATGTGGAGATCACTGATGGCGCCATTAAGCAGTAGTGCTCGACAATGCATATATGTAGGCATGTGTTTGCAACTTTCTGATTCATTGTACGGGTCATTTCCTAGCAGAGCTTGTTTAGATTTCGAATATCGATCAGAGGAACACACTTGTCTGTGACCATGCTCGTAGAATCAATAATCACAAGCACGGATTGTGAGATGCACATCCACGCCTATGCCACGTAGTTTGGGGTTCTCCTTGGGTGCTGTGTCATTATGACCATAGAAGAGAGTGTGTACCAGTGCAGCATCATAAATTTAGGAGTGATATAACGCAAAGCTTCAAGGACTGACATAAGAGACCGATGGAATGCCGAAGATGAGCCTGAAGAACAGAACCATTGACTTTCCGATTCTTGTTGGACGCAAGAGAAGTCGGGTCACAGGTAGACACCGAATACTTCTTGTAGGGACTAGTATGTTGTGTGTTCCACGGTATCAAGGCGTGGAACTGGATTGAAAAGACCTTTTTGTGAGCCGCATTTGCTCATACATGTATTTTCATCTTGATTAACTTGTCCCCGAGGTCTGGTTATTCTTTCATCCTATCTGTAGTCAAAACTGATTTGAGACGGGGAAAGAAATGTGTCATGGGGTTGTATTTGTACGATCATCAAGTCCACCAGACCGCGGCCATCAAAATTGTGACATTAATCCATGTTGAGCGGCAAATGAATCGACATCAGTAAATATTTAAGTGTGTATAGATTCTGTTGACGCCGATCGACAAAAGCGCTAAAGCGTTCACATCTACCCCGAAAGGATTATGCTCTTCTATTTTTATTCCCAAGAAAACGACTTAACGGCTTGTGGCTTGTGGACGCAAGCTCCAAGATTTGGCCCCTGTTTACTATTTTTAGCCGGCACGGCGCAATCATTGAAGCTGGTAATATATCAGCTCCACTTTCAAAACAGCAGCTTCAAGAATGTTGTCAGGTTATGTAAGCCCAGAAGTAAGCAAAAGGGGTAAAGGTTTGATGATTTGGTTGTGTAAAGAATATAATTTCATGATTTAATTCTCCCCAATGGGTTGACAACGCATTCAAGTTAGTTTGGAACCCCCTAGATGCGGTAGCAAATGAGACGGGGTTTGCCAGCAGAGAGGCCAGCAGATAGTATGGGATCATTGGAAACACCCACCTATAACGCAGTCAGTACATGTCGAGAGCTCCCGGGGAGTAGATCAACGCCAGAAGCAACTGAGATGCAGGGAACTATCGGAGCGATCTTCACTGGACGAGTCAAGCAGGTTGGTTAAAGGTTGCCAGTGTACTCCCGTAGCTCTGGCGGTAACCGCGTAGGAGACACTGCCTGTACAGGCTTGCACATCCCAGCAGGGTGGTACATCGTACATGAAATTTGAGGACGTGGAGTTAAGAAAATGTCGTAGTAGCCCTTTATTTTCCTATGCGGTGAATGCTGCTGGATATGTAGATACCTTAAGATTTCCCCGTAAATGCAGGTTTTGGGTGGTGATTATATGAATGGATCGGTTTCGCTCAAGCTCTCAAAGATGAGCTACTGAATCACTGCCAGCCAGAGGATATTAGTGAAATCCAGAGAAGATAGCATCATCAGAGGAACTGATATCACATTTTGCTCATATCAGATACCATTAATTTCATAGCCACGGGTGGCTGTGCTGGCTGTGTGGACAAAAAGAGCGACAAAGTGGGTCGGGTGATGTGGATGGAGCGGGTTTTTGTTGGACCTCAGCCACACATATTTAGGGCTGTGTACCCATTTAAGTTCTCTTTTTCTCTCTTCTTAACCTTGGAAAAGGGGAGAGGTGTAAGCCACATGTAAAAAAAAAAAAAGGGCAGCCTGAAACTCAGGGGGTACACATAGGGTATGGGTGTGTGTGTGCTCATTGTAGACTGTAGACACGATAGTATGCAGTAAAGGTAACGTACTTCAAATGTATGTACAAATGCATACCGATACCACATGCTGTACAATTGTATTGCGCCAGTACTTTTAGAGCGACCACACAAGTCGATCCATATGCTAGGCCTCTACAACCAACTTCTCCAGGGGGGGGGGGGGGGGAGGAAAGCCACAATACCGATACACCAACGGCAACAACAAATACCGTATACTGCCACCGCCCTACATTGTCTGGCCTGGTCTTCTATCTTTCTCTCCTCCACCTCCAAATCATCATTCCATCGTCTTTTTTTTCATCGCTTCCCATCGGAAATACCTACTCCATCTTCTTCATTTCTCTGGAGCTATTACTGCTAGCACTAGCTGATTTACTGCATTAAAAACTACCACACCGTTGCGCCTTTGAACACTGTATGGGATCACCCTTTTCCTTTCCCCCCTCCTCGGGAGCCTGGCTTCGCCCTTTCTTCTTGACCGTCTTGTCTCTGTCACCCCCTCATGCCTGTAGACGTTCTTCATTCTTGAAATTCTAGGACTTGCGGGGCTTCCGGGTCCTTTGTTGCTTATTTCCCCCCTATACTGACTTGTTCCTTATCAAGATGGCCGAGATCCGTCGCAAGCTCGTCATCGTAGGCGATGGTGCCTGCGGTAAGACCTGTCTGCTCATGTGAGTACTTAAAGTGGCTCCCTTATCGAGGGCGCCTCCCCAACCTCTGCGTTTACTTTTTGGTTCGGCCGCCTGACTTGAAGTTCACAGTGTTTTCTCCAAGGGCACCTTCCCCGAGGTAAGCTCCTATCCATACTCAAAACTTCGATTCCCGAAATCACGACACAGGAATATACGCCGGAGAAGCATCATTCAAGAAGGTTAATCTGACTTCGTTTCCGCCAGGTCTACGTCCCCACAGTCTTCGAGAACTACGTCGCCGATGTCGAGGTTGATAACAAGCACGTCGAGCTCGCTCTTTGGGATACTGCTGGCCAGGAAGATTACGATCGTCTCCGTCCCCTCTCATACCCCGACTCACATGTGATCCTGATCTGTTTCGCTGTGGACTCGCCCGATTCGCTCGACAACGTCCAGGAGAAGGTGGGTGTCTCAACTCTAATCGATTGCACATCCCGAAGCAAAGAAATATTTGGGTGCTAAATGGACCGAATATGCTGACGTACCACAATAGTGGATCTCCGAGGTTCTGCACTTCTGCCAGGGTCTCCCTATTATCCTCGTCGGTTGCAAGAAGGATCTTCGCGACGACCGCAAGACTATTGATGAGCTTGCCAAGACCTCTCAGCGCCCCGTCTCGCAAGACCAGGTACGTCTTGCCGGCCCCTATAGTGACCCAATATAAACTAATATATAAATATAGGGTGAGGAAGTCCGCAAGAAGATCGGTGCCTACAAGTACCTTGAGTGCTCCGCCCGCACCAACGAGGGTGTCCGTGAAGTCTTCGAGGCCGCCACTCGTGCCGCTCTCCTAAAGGCCGTTAAGGGCAAGGGAGGCCGCAAGCCTGGCAAGGGCTGCCTGATTCTCTAAACGAACCAATTGTTGAGGTGGTCTGGCTCGAGCAAAGGTCATATGTATGAGAGCCTCCACGAAAAACAATTGGTGATGTTGTTCTCGGAAAGGAGGAAGGCTTCATGGCCTGCATGCGAAATTGTGGATAATATCGAATCCGGGCACCCGAGTCGTGGAGGTTTCCCCCCACAATTCAGCTGGTCGACCTTGTGTTTTTCTTTTGCCTTTATTTGCAGAATTTGTCTAGGGAGGCGTTGTCTTCATCATAACCCTGTGGGCTTTTCTTTTTCTTTTCCTCTCTTCGTTCCGACGCCGTGAATTTTTCAAATGCCAAACCGCCGCGTTGAGGTGGCAATTATAAACCAACCGAAAAGCATCGAAAAAAAAGAACCCAAATTGGAACAACCAGGAGATGAAGAGGGGAAGCCATTCATTGTAGCACGGGTTGTGCAATTTGGTCAACGCCATGACTCGCCTTCCCTGGTCGAGTTCCCCCCTGTGTCATAGATTCTTGTCCCTGCGGTTATCTCCCCATACGCGAAGAGCTTGATTCGGCTTTTACTGTTTTTCTCTCCCTCCTTTACTACATTTGTTTTTATGTTACAGCTTATGCATGGTACTGTCTATTTGCATCTGATGTGTGTACTTTCTGATGCGTAATCCTGTAGTCTGCGTAGCCAAGCGTTCATCAAGCTGTAACTATGTCGATGCTTCCAACCACTAATCTATTTAAACAATTTCAATATCCATGTTTAGCGGTGTTGTCTGTAGTGGCATATCTGTGTTCCAATTTCTAGAGAAACACATTCAAGGAACCCCACAATTCCACACTCCACTCCGTCAAGCCACATTTCAACTACCGATTCAAACTTAGCAGACCCTCAATATAGCGCCTAGCGTCTATGCCAAGCCCCTCAACCAGCTTCGACGGCGCCATATCCGCACGGGAAGACCCCGCCAACCCAGCGGAAGAAGAGGCACCGCCTAGATCACGGAAGAAGCGAGCGCCACTGCTGACACGGCCATGGCTTGCCGGGGAGATGTAGTCACTCGCTTTGCGGACGAGGAAAGCTTCCTGAGGTGGAGGAGTAGAGTGTACTTGGGACTGATTTGCGGGAAAGGCGTCATCGTTGTTGGTTATAGATGAGAGGGCGACGGATGAAGAAGTAGTGGATAGCGCGGTTGGAGTTTGGGTTGGACTGTGTGGGATGCGTACCCAGACGACCCACCATCCGCGGTGAGTTTTGCTCGTGCGTTCGAGCTCTTGCGGGCGGGACCGCGTGTCTGTGTGCGTTGATAGGAGGCGGTGGTGGATTGCTAGGCTTTCAACGCGGGACCAGGGTGGTTGGATGGATGATTGGGAGGGGGAGGGGGATGGGGTACGGGATGGTGAGCTGGTTGGCTGGGCGGAGGGGAAGGTCGTGCTCATGCTGGGGATGTTTGGGATGGAGGAGCGGATGGTTAGGTTAGATGGGTCGTAGACTAGGTCGTAAAATGGCTGTGCTCGAGTGGAGAAGCGTTTATTGGGGTCTGGGGAGGTCTCAGACATGGCGATTCGAGAGGCTGCCATTGTTGGGGATGTTGATGATAGCAGGGGTTTCTGAAGAGGGCCAAGTTGGTGGTGCATGCCTGAGTATAGTGATGGTGATGATAGTGCTGGTGTTTGAGGATCAAAGAGGAAGGTGAACATGAATGGTTGATTCTGGAGTGACGTATCAGTGAGCTGATTTGGATGGAATAATAAGAAAAGCACATACCACGTATATCACGACCTGGAGTTTTGTCGGAGTAGTATCTGACCCATCTGCTAGGTGGACATGTAGTGTTCTATGCACTATTCGAGTCTTGGGTTTGCCGCTTTCGGATTCGGGCTCTGGGCTTCCCTCTTCTAAATCATCCAATTTTTCTAGATCATCACGAGGCCCAAGAACGAAACGACCTGAAGGACTGTTCTTCGTGCTGCTTCGAGATTTCATGCCGGCCTGAGGCGATTGTACAGCGCCAATGGGCTGATTCCGGGGGGTTGAGATGTTTGAATTGGATTCATCTCGCATTGGAGTAGAACTTTCAGGTGGCGTAGATGTCGACTTTGGAGAGAAACTCCAAGAGGAGCCATATCCAAGAGTAAGGTATTTTATGACCGCCTCTGTTGGAAATCCCGGGTTCTCGCTGCTTTGCTCGGTGCGAAGTGGCGATGCCTCATTTCTTGCTCCTGCTTGATTCTCCTCAATGACTTTCGGAGGTGGCTGCGGTGCTGCTATTATAAGCGGACGAGGTATGCCTGGCTGAAAATTGTGATCCGGCGTGGAGGGCTGAGGACCTTCCGAAATTTGCCTTCCACGCTGCTTTCTTGGTTTACGGCGACGCAGCGAGGTTGGGTCCCGCCCAACTCCATACGCAGCATCCCCAAACCGATAAATGCATTCCATCCAATGTGATACATGCGCCAATGAGTGCCGAGAAAGAGCACCGACACCAGTAAATACCACACCATCGGATGGTCGAGGATCATTATCTGCCCCAAGCCATCGACTTTGGTTATTTGAGTCTGCCAAAGCCGGAGACCCTTCAACATGTGGAGATGGATCGCCAAACCTGGAGACAACTAAGTCCACCAACCCGTCGGTCCTTGTCACAAAGTCTTCAAGTACCTCTCTTTCCCCGCTGCCCCACTCTTCCTCCCCGACGCCGATCCCCAACTCTCCTCCCGCAGAGAGTTTGATGCCATTATAGATTTCGACAATTGGGTTTCCGGTCAACAGAAGTTCCCAGTTCCACGCAAATTTCTCCCAGAAACGCTCAAGGAACAGACAAAATGTGGACCTGCCGACTTGATGGAGGATGTCGTCCAATTTGAAGTCATGGTGTAGAAGGAATTCCGAATGGGCGCGACGTAATTGCTGGATCAGTAGAGGCGGCGGTCCCATCTCTCGCGACGAATAATGAAATGCTGGAGAGTCGGTTACTCCAGAGGATCTCTGGGCTGTATCGGCGGGAATTCGGGTCAGGTCGATTGACTGGCTTAACATAAGCTTTGTGATCTGTGCCGTTATCTCAACCACTTACGGCAACAATCCACCAGTCCTTCTCCAATTCAAGTAGAACGACCCGCGATTTGTCTGTTTCAACATATTCCAGTGTTTTGCCAGCTGAGAAATTACTGTATATCAAGTACGATTAGATTGGGTCATTTGCGGGGTTTGCGGAGTTTGCGGAGATGCGGACCTCGCAAAGTTGACCATGCCTTGCGCCAGACCTATCTGGCGCAATCTTTCATTCCCTTCATCTTCAGGGGATTCATTTGCTTCACCTTCTGCAGCGGAGCCATCGATGCGCCGTGCATAGCTCGATTTCGAAGTATAGAACACGATCTGGTCCGCTACCGTCTCGTCGGTAGGTCCGAGGGTCGGGTTATAGATGGCAAGGTAGGAAAGTTGCGCTGGAATCACCGAATCATGATCGCTTTCAGTCATCGCATCGTTGGATGGCGTCTGGGGATCGTACCAGACAGGCAACAACGGTAATGGTTGAAAGACAGATGCATCTGAAGTGGGATCTGGGGTGGATGTTGACATCACGTGGTTTATCGATAAGCTACTATGGAAGCTTCAACTTTCTCTCCTGGTGGCTTTTCAACCTCTGGCAATTATCCACTAGAATTATGTGGATTATTCCAGGTCCAAGGAGCCTACGTTTCTGTAGGAGACCGGTGGTCCTTCAAGGGCTTGCCTTCAGGTCATATGCTACCAAGACCTCCGATCCACTCCGCATTCTCTTTTGCGGCTCTGATGAATTCAGTATCGCCCACTTGAAAGCTCTTCATGCTTATCATTTGAAACAGCCGGAGCGTATTTCCTCAATCGATGTCGTCTGTAGACCTGGAAAAAGAGTTGGAAGAGGACTGAAACAAATTCGGGAAGGTTAGCTCCATTTACACTTGCTTGAATAGCCTGTTTGCTGATTCCATTTCCCTCAGTACCGCTCAAAGCGGCCGCATCTGCTCTCTCCCTTCCGATCCATGAGATTGATACCTTCACTGGATGGACAGTACATAATACCAAAACTCAACCCAATTGATCTCTTCGCTGACTGTGCTAGCCCCCGTCCTCCCCGAACGGTAACATAAACTTGGTGATTGCTGTATCATTCGGACTTTTTGTTCCGCCCCGCATATTGAATGGTGCCAAGTATGGAGGCTTGAATGTGCACCCCTCGTTACTACCAAAGTATGTGATGTTTGTATGGAGAATTAAAAGAGGAAGACGATTGATCTGATTAATTAGCTTCCGTGGTCCTGCACCGCTTCATCATGCTCTTCTCGCCGGCGAGACCACTACTGGTGTGACGGTTCAGACCTTGCATTCAAAGCACTTTGATCACGGAGTGATATTATCACAAACGCCGGCCCCGGGGTTCGAAATCCCCAATCCAGAGTCATGCACCGTCCCCCAGTTGGTGGATTTCGTTGCACCCAAAGGAGCAGAAATGCTCGTGGAAAGCATTGAAAAGGGCCTATTTGTCCCTCCCATTGCAAATGCTGGTGCTGAACAAACCGGCAAGTTGAAGCACGCACCTAAAATCACACCAGAGGACCGGCACATCAAGTGGGCAAACTGGACCTTGGCAGAATTCAACAGACGTAACCGAGTAATTGGGCCTCTCTGGAGCAAGGCCCTCTGTGCAAGCAACCCTGCAGATGGGCCTCTGTCATTCCAACAGAAACGAGTCATTCTCACAGATACCGAGGAGGTTGACCCGCCTGAGGGATGCGATTCGTTCTCAATCCTCCCAGGTCTGCCGTTTACAAATGCTTCCCACCCTGTAGAGCCAAAGAAGTCACGGCAGCTATACACTTTTACTGCTGATGGCAAGGTTCTGCGCATCAACCGGATGAAAGTGGAAGGCGAACAAGATGCAGAAGGTCTGCGAGCCGCTATCAAAGCTCGCATGTTCGGTGATCGAGCATTCCAATATGAAGGTCGGGAACTGACTCCCTTCCGCAACTCTCTTGTATAAATATGATAATGTTCAGTGTACTACCACCTATGCTCTAACAATACGATTCCGTTTCCTCATTTCTATCAGATCCCAAAGCCAGAATCTAGAAGGATTGTCAGTTTCAACTCGATCCGCTGGACTCGAGACTCATACCAATTTGAACGGTTTGACCGGTTATAGAAGCATTCTTGGCCAAGGTAATAAACATATCGGCACAGTCCTCCACCTCGGGCTATCGCGAGATTTATTAGCACCCAAGGTCCTTTTCTAACGTTGGGGGAGACCAGAATTGCTTACCGCTCGCTTGAGAGTTGTCGCATTTGTCCAGCTCTCGATTTTATCGGACGGGAAGCGTTGACCCTGGGATGTTCTCAGTACTCGTCAATGCTAGCGTTGAGCATGTGCTACTTACCCATTCAGTGAG